AGTCAAGTGCTTGCTGCACAGGCATCATGACCTGAGTTTGGCCCCCCCAGCACCCATGTAAAAAGCCAGGCATGGCAGCAGTTTGGAGATGAGGGATCGATCCCTGGAGCTCATTGGTCACCCAGTCTAGCCAAACAGTGAGCACTAGGTCCAGCGAGAGACCCTACCTCAAAAAAGTTAAGTTGGAGGAGCTGGAGAGATGGCTCAGCGGTTAAGAGCACTGGTTACTGTTGCAGAGGACCCGGGTTTGAGTCCCAGCACCCACATGGCAGCTATGAACCATCCTTAACTCCAGTTCCAGGAGAATGTCTTGGAATGTCCTCTTCTGACCACCGTGGCATTGAATGACACAGGTACAGTCACATATGTGTAGGCAATACACTCATACACATTTAAAAAAAAAGTCAAGTTGGAGAGCATCAGAATAAGACCCTCATCATGGAGCTCTGGCCTCTACATGCACACGTATGCGTGAGTGCATCCATACTTTGGTGTATTTATGAGAAGTCGGTGGTAAAGTTACACCTCTCCTCATACACAGAAATTAATTCAAGAAGTCACAAACCGGGGCTGGGCTCATGGGTTAAGAGTTCATACAGCTCTTGTAGATCATCTGTTTAGTTACCAGTACCATGTGGGCAGTTCACAATTGCCTGTAACTCCAACTCCAGGGTTATCAGATGACTCTGGCCTCTGTACAACATGGGTACACTTACATACATGCAGGCAATACACATACACATAAAAGAAAATAATGTATTATTTTAAAAAGACAAAGAGTCCAAGAGATAAATGCAGAAAGTAAGCCTGAAGCCCCAGATGAAGACAGCAGCCCAGCCCTGTGGGCGAGAGAGCAGGGCTGTTTCCACCACACTGGCAGAAAGCTGAGAAAATGGCAGTGTCCGGCACGCATGAGGCTGCAGGCAGGACAGTGCCCGGCACGCATGAGGCTGCAGGCAGGACAGTGCCCGGCACGCATGAGGCTGCAGGCAGGACAGTGCCCGGCACGCATGAGGCTGCAGGCAGGACAGTGCCCGGCACGCATGAGGCTGCAGGCAGGACAGTCCTCGCTGACGGTGGGACTGCAAAGCCCAACGCTCCTGCACCAGGGCTGCTCAAGCCCTTCCCTTTCTGAAGCCCTTTTCACTAGAGGCATTTTTATGAATCTCCAGGTAAACAGGTGTGTGACACAAGTCAAACATCTGGGCCGGCAAGATGGCTCAGGTAAGAGCACTGGCTACCAAGCCTAGACTTGGGTTTGATCCTTGGGACTCACATGGTGGAAGGAGAGAAATGCTTCTGACAAGTTATCTTCTGACTTTGACATGCACACTCACACACACACACACACACACACACACACACAAATAAATGTAATAAAAAATTTAAAGAGGGATTGGGGGCCAGGTATCGTGGCACACACCTTTAATGCCAGCCCTCGGGAGGCAGAGGCAGGCGGATCTCTGTGAGTTTGAGGCCGGCCTGTTCTACATAGCTAGTTCCAGGCCAGCTGGGGCTACAGGGGGACCCTGTCTCAAAAGCCACCACCACCACCACCAATAAAACAAAAGCAAACAAACCAAAAAGATAGTCATTTTCATTATAAAGGCAATTTTAGGCTGGAGAGATGGTGGTTAAGTGTGCTCGCTGCTCTTGCAGAGGACCCGTTAGGTTCCAACCAGCACCCATGTTAGGCAGCTCACCACTGCCTGTAACTCCAGCTCCAGGGGATTCAACACTTCTGACCGCCACAGGCACTTGTACTCAAGTTTGTGTGTGTGTACACACACACACACACACACACACACACGCATACACATAACTTACACAAGTCATAAATACATTTCAAAAGACAATAAAGACAATTGACCTTTACTGTAAAAAGTTGAGGAGGGAGGAGGGTGTGGTGATACACACCTTTAATCTCAGCACTATGGGGAGGCAGAGGCCGGTGGATCTCTATGAGTTCAAGGACATCCTGGTGCACAGAGAGAGAGCTAGGCAATGCAGGGCTACTTAGTAAGACCCTGTCTCAAAATAATGGGAGGAGGCTCTCTGGCGATGTGGCTCAGTGGTAGAGTGCACAAAACCCTGGGTTCAATCCCCAGCACTGCAAAATAAGGTGGTGGGGGAGGGTAATGAATAAAAAAGCACACTGAATAAAGTTACTGTCAGAACAGGTGGAGCACAAAGGGCTTGGGGACTGGTGGAAACTGGTCCCATGGTTCTCTAATGGTGGATCATGCTTATATCTGCGTCTAAGCCCACAGAACGCCCAATGCCAAGAGCAAGCCCTGGACTTTGTAGGATGATGATATGGGGGGTGTACTCTGCTGGCTAGAGAGACAGTGCATAGGGGAGGGGAGGGACGATGGGAGAAATCTCTTTCTGCTCAATCTTGTGACTTAAAGATGGCTTTTTAAAACATCACCACCAGTCAGGAGTGGTACAAGCCACCATCCCAGCACTTGGGAGACTTAGGAAGATTAGGAGTTCGAGTCCAACCTAGGCTACATAAAGGGACCCTGTCCAGGCTGGAGATGGCTCAAGGGTATTGTGAGGCTCTTACATGTGTGTGGAGGGCCAGGGAGAAGGCTCAGTCAGTAAAAGCACTTGCACTTGTGCAAGCTTGGTGGCCTGCATTTGAATGTGTGTACCAAGCAGGATGTGGTGGTGGGTACCAGTGACCCCGGTACTCCTACAGTGAGGTGAGGGAGACAGGACTGTCAGAAGCTCATGCAACAGACGAGCTGCAAGAGAAATGCCATCCTGCCTCAGAACAGAGCTAGAAGGAGAGAACCAACTCCTGTAAAGCTGTCCTCTGACCTCTGCACGCACGCCATGGCACACGAGCACGGGCACGCGCGCGCGCACACCCCCCCCCCCCACACGTTTACAGTGTGTGGATGGCACACGGCAAGCACAGACTGGAAGGCCAGCGGGGTGTGTCGGCTGCTGCAGCTTGCAGTCTGCAGGGAGCAGGGCTAGGGAGGTGGGTGCGAAGCGGAGAGCGTGAGCGCAGCCGGATCCCAGAAGGTGCGCTGCAACCCAGCATCCGTTTGCCGTCAGCTTTGGAGTTTGGGGACCCTAAAAAAAAGCTACTGTCCTTTGCCATGGGCTCAAAACACCCACCCACCTAGCAGGAAGGAAGCTGAAGAATGACCCAGCAGGACTGGCCACAGACAGGAGTAAGTGACCCCCGGATGCCCTGCAGCGACCAGTGAGCCTAAGGTCAAATCTCCAGATTTGTCTCCTGGGTTTACCCTTGGAATTCTGGGAATTCAGTGTGCAGGCTGACAGCTTACCTGCCCATCATGGTCCGGTCCCCTCAGACCCTGAGTTCAGAATCTTTGAGTTTACTGATAGACTTAGAAAAGAGCTCCAATCCCAACTATTGTTTTTTGTCTGGGGACAAGGTCTCACATGCGTAGTTAGCCTTGAACTACATGACCCTCCTGCCCCAGCCTCCCTAGGTGCTGCAATCACAGGTGTGCCCCACCACTCCGGCCTCCCAATGTTTCAGCTAAAGTGAAGTCAGCTGTGACGTACCCACCATCCAGGGCAGCCTGAAGGTCATTCCCAGCCTCCCTTCCAGGTAACACCAGGCCATTTCCAGGCTGTGTCCACCAGCTGGTAGTCCATCCATGCAGGAGCCCAGGACTTGAGCTGGAGCTGGAGCTCTGCTAACTGGGCTGTATGTCCCTGGGCAAGGCAAGCCAGCAATCTGCTCCTGCATGCATTTTACAATCTGTGCAGGAGAGCAAATGGTAGTACGTACACCCAGGCTGGTGGGACAGGAGTGCAGACCCCTGAGCATGGGTCCCCCACTGCCGGCTCCTTGCTAGACTAGACCAGCTGCTCTGGGGTCTTTTTACTGGTTGCCTTTTGGAGACCTTTTCTTAGACCAGGGGAGTTCCTACCTCCTGTGTCTGGAATCACCAGAGTCGCTTCCCTTCCCTTGGCCCTGCTGCATGGCCCGTGGGAACCTTCGTTCTGGCAGGAGACACCCAGGTTACTTTTCTGGGGGGCTGGTCCAAGGCCCTGGGAAATGCGGTACTGGTCCCTCTGGGAGCCTCCTTCCCACAGAATCACCTAAGAGTTGAAACTTGAAGGCCAAGAGCTTCAAACGCATTAAATTAGGAATTCTGGGGTGGGATGAGCAAACACCCTTTGTAAAAGGTTGGCTTCCAGACTGGAGCTCCCACTGTAGGAGCTGTCTGCTCAAGGGGCAAGAGCAACTGTGTCCCCAGCCACCATGGCTCAGGCGCCACCCGAGGGCATCATTCACGTCACTAGACTTGGCAAATGCCTTCTGCACAGGTGGTGACAGTAAATCAGGTCTTCTAAAGGTCAAGGTGGCAGCCACCTCCTCCTCCCCTCAGGGACAGAAATCTCTGTGGTGCTGCACAACATATAAATTCTCTTTAACCTGAAGCTAAATTTTAGTTCTTCCCCTGAATTATTTATTCCTCAAACAACGAATGGTGAAACCCAAGAGATGGGGCGACTGCATGGACTTGTGGATGGTCAAGAGGGATGTCTGGTGGCTTTGATCACAGTTATAGTTACTACAGCGACAAGTCCCACAGATGAAGTGAGTGTCACAGGATGCGCACTCAGCAGGCTAGGCTGCTGCGGCCTGGGTCGTTTGAGATGTCTAAGCAAGCAGACAGGCTGGCAAAGTGCCGTCTCCTGTCACTGCTCCTGTGTGTTCTGCCTGCATGACCAGGTACACCCCCACCCCCACTGGCATTTCTGAGCACTCATAGTCCAATGGTGGCTTCTAAGCTGCTGGATACACGACAGGCAGCAAGCCATGATGCATCGTGGGACCTGGGGACAAAGACAACGGGACTGGGTTGAAGAACTTTTATGTCTGGATCACAGTAATTCCTGCCAAGAGATTTCAGTATGAAACAAGTGGGTTGGCAGACTGAATGGACTTCCTGGCAGCACCTGGCCCTTTCAGTGAGCAGCACAGAACACTTCTGACCCATGAGTCTTCTTGTTCTATTTTTAATTCTGCATTTTCTCTTAAAATTTAAGTTTTAACAAAGTAACAGGGTTACTGTTTACCAAAATCCAGTTATAAATCAAAAGCTACAGAAAAATTTCCAATTTGCACAACTCATTTTAGAAAAGTTTGGTACATTGGCTATAAAACTCATTTTACATGTTATTCACATGCACTTGCTCAAATTTGCTCCTGAAAATTCATCAAAGTGAAACTGAACAAACCTCGTGGTAGAGTCAAAGTAAATCGGAGAAGCCAAACGGGCTAAGTAGACAGAACATTTTCATTTCAAAGTAACCAATTTTGAAAGAAGTCAGGGGGCTTTCCTTTAATGCCACAGCAGGACAGAGCAGAAGTGCTCTTCATCTTGACATGACTCACTGCCACTCACCACCACCACGAGAGCTGCTTCAGGAAAGGCCACCGTACACAGGCCAAGCGTGTTTTGCGAATACTTTTACAACTGACATAATGCGTCTACATTCTGCAGAGAGAGGCTGTTGTAAGACAAGGTTTGATTGCTAGAATGGGTGATGCAGGGGCTCAAGGCCCTGGGTTCTAATCTCAGCACTCACCACACAACACAGGATGCTGTAGTTCTCAAATGATCTGACATGGTGAGCACTGTGTCAACAGATTGGTGCATTAGAACAGGGGTCAAACCATACTAGAACACTGCTTAGTGGGTGGCAGTCAAGGGTGCATTCTGGGGAAACTATTTTAGGCTTATTTCTTAATCCGCATAGTAACAAGGGCACAGTGGCCATGTCCCATCCTCAGCTGTTTTTGCCAGGCCTCCCTCAGAAGCCCCCTTTTTGGGTTACCTAAGTGGTCACCTCTCTTGGTCTGCTAAAAACGAGCACTTTCCCACAGTACCAAGAAAGGGAAGTGGCGCTGAGGTTTCTTGTCAGAGTCACATGGGGATAGCTTCAAAGCCCGTGCCCTAGACAGAGTGGGATTAGTTGAGGCCACAATGAGACAGTGTTCAGCTGACATTAGGCTACCTGTCTGGGTACCAGTGGAGAGAGACCTACTAGGTAATGCAATTCAGTGCTGAAACTGGGCAACCACAGTTTTTTAAAGTTCTTAATAAACCTGCTTCAGTAGAAATTCTAACACAAAACCTTTTGCTTGAAAACAATGACAAAAATTTCAGAATGAACATTAGTTTTCAGGGATCTGCCTTCCGCCCCAGATGAGCTAATAGGCTTGTGTATAGTATTCACTGCAAACCCTATTACTTCAACTGTCCACTCTACATACATTACAGGCTGTGGATACAAGTCTGTTCCTGGAGGTGTGGAAGCAGGTATGCGACCAGGCAGCCCTTCCTCCCAGGTCCTGACTGCCTTCAGTCTCCTGCTTTTCCTTTCACAAGCACCAGGCTCGAATGGAAGCCGGGTGCGCCCCCTAGTGTCCCAGCACAGCACTGCACCTTCACCTGCTGGGTGGCTCCCGAAGCCCACAGGTGTGGGTTCCTGATGCTGAACTCACTTCTTCCTCTTTTCAAGGGTGCTTCTCTCCTGCCGGAAGTAGTCTACCTGGCCTTCCATCCAGCTCCCAACCTGCCTGGTGACTGGAATCCCTTGGGAAGTATTAAGGCTTTTATTCTCCTGGCGACTCGAAGGTCTTAACAGGCAACCTGAGGTGATTCATACTGGCCAGCCCAGCACCAATCTTGTATTTGATAATCATGTCTGTCTACAACTCAGCGGCCACACAAGCCTCACAACATGTTGGGGATATCTGAATGACAACTGAAGAATTATTCTTCCATCTCAAGAAGCCAAAGAAATCTAGCTGGAAAACTAAGTACACACTAAGATGGGAAAAGGGCCTGGCACAGCTCAATCCCTCTGCTGAAGTGCCCTGTCTCCAAGTGCACATCAGCAGGACATTTCCCAACATGCTACTTCCCAAAGCATCCCAGGAGACTCCAGCTGTTTTTCTTTATATGGCCTGAGACAGCTGACCCATTAGCACTAACTCGCTGACTCCCAATTACTGAGGCCGAGTCTGCCACACATGGTTCAAAGGACCCGTCCTCTCTTTTTCTTTTTAAACAGTAAGTTTGTGTTCTGTTGGAAAACAATTAACATTTTATACAGAAGAAAGAAAAGCAGTCTACCAGATTAAATTTTAAAAAGATTTCGCTATTTGCTATACAAATATACATTTCAACCTTTACAGCACTTGCTCTAGTCTAACTTCCTTTTCTACAGAACAAGAGATCCCAGCATTTTGAATTTCTGACCTCGAGGACATTGTCCAGGTACACAAATGTTCTCTCAAAGTGTATGCAACTGGCAAAAAGTACAGATGATGGCACATGGGCCAGGACTAAAGTTTTCTGTTTTTCAACTCAACTCTTTACAGGAAAACAGGCCAACGCGACCCTACTGCGTCCTCCCCGCTGGCCTGTGGCTGGCGGTCCCGCCCTGCTTGGCTACAGAAACCTTCTCTTCTTCGCACTGCTTCCCTCCTGCCCCAGCCCCCTCCTCCTCCAGTCAGAGTTCCTCAGCATGTAATGAGACCTGGAGCTGTGCCTCTGCTGCTCCTCACTGAAAGCCCTGTGTTCTCTTCTGTGACCCCTGTCTGAGTCACCATGTCTCCTCCTACTTGTGCAAGTAGCAAGGTTAACAACTGGAGGCTCAGCCTGCAGGGGAGGCCTCTGGTTGCTCAGAGAAGTGATGGCAATGGATGGTGGCACAGCAGTGGACAGGGGCACAGCAGTGCCCAGGTCCTGCAAAGCCACAGGAAAGCCTGGGTCTCCCAAGGGATGGGTTGCCCCAGGGTCCTGGGGGCTCTCAGGCTGTGGATCCTTCAGTCTTGTTCCCTTGGCTTCAGCATCCAACCTCTTTAGTAGTCGTGGATCTCGGACTGGCGGTCTTTCAGGGTCCTTTGCAGTGGCAGAGTCAGAGGGTGTGTGGCACAGAGAAGCAGCAAAAGACATAGTAGCATGTCCACTGTCCAGCTTGCTGCTGGGCAAGCCACCCTGGGGTCTGGGCGCCTCTGGAGCTGTGGCTGGGGGGTGGGTCAAACTCCTCTGTAGCACAGGCTTGAGTTTCAGAATCTTCATGGCATCATGTTTATAGTTTCTGGTGCAGGTCTTAACAATTGCCCCACGTTTCTGAGCATTCTGAATCAGCTCGTTCCAATGGTGGTTTTCCTGAAACAAAGAGGAGAAGCAATTACACTCCAAGGAAGCCTCTTGCTCACTCTGCTTGGGAAGCACAAGGGTCCAGCTTCCATCTCGAACAAACAAGTGCACTATGACACACAGATTCTCACGACCCAGTCCTCAGCAGACTGAGCTCAAGCACTTAATGATAAAGCCTCCATTCTAAAAACCAAGAGCAGTCACCGCTTGTAAGAAAACTCAGTCCTCAGTTCTCGTCTCTGCCGCCTTGCACCAAGGTAAGACCCTCTCAGGTCTGGCGCAGCTGCCAGCGGCTGCACTGAGCTGTTCACGTTCACCTTATTTAAAATCAAAGACAATGAAAACCACTGCCCCAGGCCCACTTTACATGCACAGTGGCCACATTCCTCCAGTGCTGACTGCATTAGGCACAGACCTTTCCTATCACCACAAAAGGCTCCTCTGCACCCCGCTGATCTGGACGGCCACCTGTCCGTGGGCAGGGCTGACATTTAACAGGGAGACTTCGTTTTCAAAGGCCTGTGACTGTTGTTGAAAGAAACCCACAGTATTTACTGACTTCCCGAAGGGCTCCCAAGCCCCAAAGGGCTAGTGTCTTAATGCACCGAGGAAGGACTCCAAAATATTCTTCCACTCTTTGTCACTCTCTACCCTTTTTCTGTTCTGTTTTCTGTTTGGTTTTTGGAGACAGGGTCTCCCTGTAGCCCCAACTGGCCTGGAACTCGGAGAGATCCTGCTTGCCTCTGTCTACCTAGCGAGTGCTGGGATTCCAGGTATGAATCACAGTGTCCAGTGCTATGTGGAATCTCTTACTTAGCCAAGAAGCAGGCCAAAGTTAAAAGTGGTTTAACTGTGAAAACATGCATTTTTAATTAACAAAGCAAAAAACAAAACTAAAAGCTTCCACATTCCACACACCTTGAGGGAATTCATAACTAGGTCACTGTAGTTGTTTGATTTTTAGTTAACCATTTAAAGATCTTGCATGAGAACTTACAGACGTCTTCTAATACTATTAATGACTCCTGAAGGGTGGAAAGATGGGTGGGGCGGCTCCCACCTGTATTCCCAGCTACTAGGGGCTAAGGCAGGAGGACAGCTCTGAGTTTGAAACCAGCAGATTCCATAGTTCCAGGACAGTATGAGCTACAAAGACCTGGTCTTTAAAAAAAAAAAAAAAAGACAGGACTGGAGAGATGCTCAGTGGTTAAAAGCACTGGCTACTCTTGCAGAGGACCTTGGTTTGAATCCCAGCACCCACACGGCAGCTAACAACCGTCCATAACTCCAGTTCCAGGGGATCCGACGTCCTCTTCTGACCTCCGCGGGCAATGCATGATGACATGGGTGCATTTACAAACATACAGCCAATACACTCATACATGTAAAATAAAAAATAAAAGAATTAAAAAGAAAGGCTTGTAGGATGAAGATCAGGGTAGTTCTAAGACAACCCTAGGGACAGCAGGGGCACACTCTAGGCAACACGGATTTTGCCAGCGCTTGATTGCACTGAGGATGGCGGGGAATATGAGACTGTAAATGGAAAAGGATTCATGAGTGCTGGATAGAAGTCAAACACTTAGGGATATTACAACCTTGTCATTTTGTGTTTTCACTTTTATGTATGCAAGAGTGAATAGGGTCCAAAGTCCTAAAACAGCTTTCCAGGAAATACAAAATATGAATCTTAAGTGAAAATAAAGTTTTATCACAGATTAGCTGCAGTGTGATCAGCGGCACCTTGATGTGATGAGCTGCAGTAATGCTGCCTCCACAGGTTCTGTGAGAGTAAAGGAAGCCAAAGACTCGCGGTGCAGTGACGGACACATCAACAGCCCAGGTAGGCAACATGAGGCCATGTGCTCGCTCCACATTCCCACTCAGAAGCCACATGGAAGTTCTTAGCCTGTGGCTCAAAGCTCACATGAAGCAGATGTCCTCACCAGTGTAGCCAAGTCTACTACACCGAAACTCAGCATTTCATTCAAACCTGAGATCACGAAACAAGTTTGGTTTTTTTTATATATTTTATTATTTTTATTCTATGTGTATGAGCGTATTGCCTGCATGTATGTGAGTGCACCTATGTCATGCGATGCTGAGGATGTCAGAAGAGGGCTTCGGATTCCCCTGGAACTGGAGTTAAGGACGGTTCATAGCGCCATGTGGGTGCTGGGAATCAAACCCGGTCCTCTGCAAGAGCAGTCAGTGCTCTTAACCACTGAGCATCTCTCTAGCCCCCATAAAACAAGTTTTTAAAGAAAATTTGTCTTTATGCATGAGTCTGTTCTCTGCATGTATGTAAGTGCATCTGTGTCACGCAATGCCTGAGGAGACCGGAAAGTGGTACTGAATTCCTGGAACTGCAGTTACAGATGGTTGTTAGCCACCATGTGGGTGCTGGGAACTGAACCTGTTCTCTACAAGGGCAGCCAGTGCTCTTAACCACTGAGCCATCTCTCCAGCCCCTCAATCCTTTTGTTGTTGTTGTTCTTTGGAGTGTATGTTGCTGGGGATGGACCTCAGGGCCTTGCATGTGCTAGGCAAGTGCTATACCACTCAGCTGTATTTCCAGCTCATCACTTAATTTTTAAACAAAAAGATTCATTTTATTGTTATGTCTGTGTGTGGGTATGGGTACACATCCCTGTGGGTGTCCAAAGAGGCCAGAAAAGAGCATCAGATTCCCTGGAGCTGGAGTTACAGGCAGTTGTAAGCTGCCTGATATGGGTGCTGGGAACTGAACTGAGGTCCTCTGGGAGAGTGGCAATCACACAAGTGCTGAGCCATCTCTTCAGCCTCCATCACTATTTTATAAATACTGACATTATAATATGTTATAAACAATCTTCAGCAATACTAAGGATAAAATTTGGTTTCTCTTTACCAACTTAAAATAGACATTAAACACAGGGTACCTGGCATTTACAACTTCCTTCAAGGGCTCCACAAACAACACACAATAGAGACCAGCGCACTAGAAAAGGGGTAAGTGAGAAGGGAGCGCCATCGGAATACTTTCAGTGGCATTAACAAAAATGAGAAGGAAAAAAGAAATCAGCGAAGCTGGCTTCTCTCCTTAGATGACCAATGAATTTATTAAGGACACCACAAGCTTCTAGCCCGAGACACACAGCAAATGTGAGCTGCAGCTGCTGCAGTGTCCCTGGAACTGCTCATACCATGTGTCCACGGAAGACAGGGAGCCTTGAGCTTCCTCCCAAGCAGGACCACAGGGGCAGGAGCTCTGAGGCAGACCTCAAGTGAGCAGAGGGGCTTCTGGACAACACGCCAAGGAAAGCAGGCAAGCACGCTCCTGCACTCTCTAGAGAAACTGGGCTCAAACAGCCACAGCTAGCGTCTACTGAGTGCCAGCCCAGCCCTGTTCTAGCACTTGGTGTGTGGATGGATCTGCTTGCTTCGCAGTCCTGTCACTGACACAGATCATGTTCTTAGAAAGGTCATCTTGAAAATCCAGTGGACACACTTGGGCTTTGATCTGAGACAGGGTGAGAGGCTTCTATGTACACATACGCTTATGGGAAACGCTGCTGGAGGACAGAACAACTTTTATTTTGTAACCTACTTACCATTTTGATGAAGAAAAAAAAAAATCAACCCAGCAATACTGATGGTGAGAACTTCAGCTCCCTGCAGCCCCCACAGAATGCACGTACCATTAGAGTTCTCAAGTGCCCAAGGATGAAGAGGCTATACTTGGCTCGTGTAATGGTGACATTCAGTCTCTGCAAACTTGCCAGGAACCTAAGCAACAACAAGAAAGTTATTTCTCTCTGTAGAATGACAGCAAATCACTTAGGAAGACACAGGCAGTGCTGCAGACAGCATCTCCAGTGCCCCTTTCCACACTTTCTGGTTATAGTGTGTTCTCACTCTCTGTCCCAATCCAGGTACCTGGCACAGAAGTAGCTCCTATTAAAAACAGTGAATGGCAGCTGAAGAGATGGCTCAGCAGTTAAGAGCACTGGCTACTCTTGCAGAGGAGCCAGGTTTGAGTCCCAGCACCCATACGATGGTTAACAACCATGTGTAACTACAGTTCCAGGGGATTTGACACCCTCTTCTGACCTCCAGGAGCACTGCACAACACAGGTATACTTACATACATGCAGGCAATACACTCATATGCATAACACAAAAATAATAAAATATATTTTTTAAAACCAGTGAATGGGGGCTGGAGAGATGGCTCAGTGGTTAAGAACACTGACTGTTCTTGCAGAAGACCCAGGTTTGAATCCCAGCACCCACATGGCAGCTAACAACTGGCTGTAACTCCAGTCCCAGGGGATCTGACAGCCTCTTCTGTCCTCTGTGGGCACTGTACGACATGGGTGCAGTTAAATAAAATTGAAAAAAAACAAGCAGTGAATGAACCAAACCCGTAGTACTTTACTTTCAAGTTAGGAATTTGTTCATCTCTTTTTCTGACTTGGAGACACTAGAACACTAACAATATAACTTAAATTTCAAAATGATCCTAGAGGGGGCTGGAGAGACAACTCAAGTGCTTAAGAGCACTTGCTGTTCTTCTAGAGGACCTGAGTTCAGTGCCTAACATTCACATCCACCTGCAACTCCAGTTCAGGGGATCTGTACTCCTCTGACCTCCAAAGGTATACATATAAATAAAAATATCCTAGAAATATATAGGATTTATTTCTTATTTTTAAATTTAAATATTGAGACTGTTGAAGTAGTAGGGAGCTAGCACAGAAATAAACATGGCAATACAGAAATAGAATGGGAGCCGGGCATGGTGGCGCACACCTTTAATCCCAGCATTCAGGAGGCAGAAGCAGGTGGATCTCTGTGAGCTGAAGGCCAGCCTGGTCTACAAAGAGTTTCAGACTAGCTGGGGCCACAGGGAGACACTGTCTCAAAAAGACCAAAAAAAGAATTAGAATGGGAGTATGAAAATGGTGAGCTTTCAAATGAGCGGGAAATGGACTATCCACGAAATGGTCCTGTGCTAGCCAACTCTGTATGTACAGACAGCCCAGCCTTAGGAGAGACAAAAGTCATTGAAATCACTGTTTAAGACTGCTTAAATCAATCTAGGACATGTAAATTCCATGTGGATCTCATGAAAAAGAATAATCATATGAGCATCAACCTAGAGAGTTAATGGAGTCCTTTGCATCTTCAGTAGTTAAGGATTCAGTTGTTTAGTTAAGCAGACTCAAAGCAAGAAAATGGGTAATACATACCAGTGACGCTACAGATCCCTGCAAAATATTTACTTCATTTTATTAAAGAACGGAAACAGCTTATGAAAAGCAGACCTCACAGATGATCTACTTCAAAACTTAAAGATACTTTCATGATACATATTTTGTGTGTGTGCATTGTACACACATGTGTACATATGGGTGTACATGTATGTAGAGGTGAGAGATTTACACCAGGGACGTTCCCCAAGTGCTCTCTGTCTTATTTTTTGAAACCTCTCTCATTAAACCTCAAGGGCAGCATTTAGGATAGACTGGCTGGCCTGCAAGCACCCAGGAAATGCCTATCTCTGCCCCAAGAGTGGAGGTTACAGACACTCGTCACCATGCATGGCCTTTTACCATGGGTGCTAGGGATCCAAACTCAGGTCCTTACCCTGTGTGGCAAGCACTTTACTAACTCAGCCATCTCCTTAGCCTCAAGATATTACACAGGTTCAAATAAAAGAAAATGAATAAAGCAAATGGCAGCGCTCTCCAGCAGCAGTCGACTGTGGAGCCAGATGACGCATCTAATTCTCAACAAGTGAGTAAGAATGCTGCCAGTTACTCACCCAATTGAGCCTTGCACGGCACTCGCTCTGACACATGTAACGATGATGCAGTCCTTCTGTCGACCCTGGAAGGCATCCACTGTATCTACTTCTGCAGGTCTATTCACAAAAGGCAAGCATATTTACTACTAGAAGTAAAATTATGAAACACATATAAAAACATCATATTTTTAAACTTCTTGTCTCTTCATGACATCTTAGTAGAGCCTACCCATCCCCTCACTTCCTGGCAACCATTCATCAGATCTATCTATACAGAATCTGGTTTTTTATTTTGTTTTTTTTTTTTTTTTTTTTTGGTCTTGTTGAGATAGGGTCTCCCTGTAGCCCCAGCTGTCCTGGAACTCACTATGTAGACCAGGCTGGCCTTAAACTCACAGAGATCTGCCTGCCTCTACCCCCCGAGTGCTGGGATCAAAGGTGTGCGCCACCATGCCTGGCTCTACAGAATGTCTTATGCTAAAAATTTCACATTCATGTCAAAGCTGGGCATAGTGGCACACACTTTTAATCCCAGCACTTGGGAGACAGAGGCAAGCGGATCTCTGTGACTTCGAGGCCAACCTAATCTACATTGAGTTCCAGGCCAACTAGGGATATAAGGAGACTGTGTCTCAAAACAAAACAAAAAAACTCCAAACAAATAAAGAAAAAAAAATGTAATCCTATTTTGAAAGAACCTCACACTGAAACCCAGGATGGCCTGCAACTCACTATGCAGTCCAGGCTGACCTCAAACTCATGGCAATTCTCCTGCCTGAGCCTCCCAGATGCTAGGATTACAGGCATGAGCCACCATACCCATTATCTTAGGCTGCACCATGTTAACTATACTTCCATTTCACACAACCACTAAGTATCCATTCACAAACTGATGGACTGTGGGTTGTTTCCAGCTTATGGCTATTATAAACAATGTTACTGTAAATATTAGTGTCAAGTTTTGATGAACATTTTTCTTAGTTCTTCTGAGTATGTACCTAGGTGTGAACTTGCTCAGTCATACAGCAAGTCCATATTTAATTCTTAAGAAATCACTAAACTGTTTTCTATAGTAATTTATTTTAAATTCTCACCAGCAACCAACATTTAACAGTCTCAATTGCCCACATCTTTTTGTCTGGGGTTTCGGGTTTTTTCCACTATTACCATCCTGGTGGGTGTGAAGGGGTACTTAATGGTTTTGATTTGTACTTCCCTAATGACACCCTTTTTACTGGTCATCTATCTGTCTTCTTTGGGAAAATGTTTAGTTATTTGAAGAATTCTTTATATATTCCAGACAGACTAATCTCTAAATTATTTCCAAGTACTTTTTCCTCTTTTTTCTTTGTTTGGGGCAGTAGATAAAATGTCACACACCACTAAGGTACATCATCCTTTCCCACTCTTGCTAGTGTCCTTTGAAACATAATTATTTAAAAAATGTTTATCAGGGCTAGAGAGATGGCTTAGCGGTTAAGAACACTGACTGCTCTTGCAGAGGACCCAGTTTGATTCCCAGCACCCACGTAGCGGCTACGAACCATCCTTAACTCCAGTTCCAGGGGAATCCGAAGCCCTCTTCTGACCTCCGCAGCATTGCACGACACAGGTGCACTCACATACATTCAGGCAATACACTCATACACATAAAAATAATAGTAAAATATTTTTAAAAAAAAGTTTATCAAGTCTAATTTGCCTTTTCTTTCCTTTAGTATTCTAAGGAACTACTCCTAGCCAGGGTGGCAATGACCTTTAATCCCAGCACTTGGGAGGCAGAAACAGGCGAATCTCTGTGAGTTTGGGGCCAGTCTGGTCTAGACCAGTCAGGGCTACATAGTGAGATTGTGTCTAAAACAAAACATAAAAGACCAAAAAAGCAAAAATACTACCTCCCAGTCTGAGGCCACATGTACTTATACTTAAGTTTCCGTAAACCTTTTAGGTTTGTGGTTTTGTTTTAAAGTTCTATGATTTGATCACAGCTTGATCGTGTCTGTAAAGTAGGCAGTTGCAATTCTGTCAGTGACTGAACTAATTACCCATATGGGGAGTACTGCAATCTTGCAGCATTAGGTCCTTTTTCTGTATATGTTTTTCGGTTTGGGTTTTATTTGGTCTCCTTGTAGCCCCAGCTGGCCTGGAACTTGCCATGTAGACCTCCAATTCACATACCTCAGACCATGTCTGTAGGGAATTTTCTAATTATGTCAATTGAGATGGGAAGACCTAGGCAGGGGATCCAAGACTGCAGAAGAGTGGAGGAAGTGAGTCAAACATCAGCATGCACGTGTTCACTGCTCTTCTGACAAGGGACCAGCTACTTCAGGTCCTGCTGCCGTCCCTTCTTTGCCATGGTCAAGTACACTGTGGACAGTGAGCTAAGTAAACCCTTCTCTCCTTTTCTTTTTTTTTTTTTTTTTTGGTCTTTTTGAGGGTCTCCCTATAACCACAGCTGGCCTGGAGCTCACAGAAATCTGCTTGCCTCTGCCTCCTGAGTGCTGGAATTAAAGGCACCTGCTATCATGCCCGGTGTTAGACCTTAAGGACTTTTAAAGTTGGAATGAATGCATATTAAGGTTCCAGCTTGACAATAATGCTGTTTTGGGCATCAAGTTGACAAGGGGTGGAGTTGTGATGGTTAGTGACACAACTATCAACTTGGCAAAAGTTAGAATAACCTGGGAGATGGGTCTTGAGGCATGTCTGTGGGGGTTGTCCACTGATTGGGCTGAGATGGGAAGATTCACCCATTGTGAGTGGTGCCATTCCCTAAGCAGGAGTCCCTGCACTGTGCCAGAGTAGAGAAAGGGAACTAAGAGCTACCATGCAAACATTCACTGTTCTCGTCTTCTGACCGAGGACATAATGTGACCAGCCTACGTTAGGATCCTGCTCTTTTTCACCATGACGGACCGAACATCTGTGATGTAAAATAACCCCTTCAGTATTTTTGCCAGAATATTTTGTGACAGCAACAGGAAAAATAACCACGGTGCCAAGGATGAGGACTCACCTTCCTTCCTGTATCTGCACCACTATCCAATAGAACCAGAACACAGTCAGAGCCTGGGCAACTCACAGACACACTGTCTCAATTTTTTTAAAAATAACAAGAGAACTGGAGATGTATCTTAGAGGTAGAATGCTTGCCTGGCATGGACAAGACCCTGATTCAACCCTAATGCTACTGTTAAAAAAAACAAAAACAAAAAAAACAAACAAAACTAATTCAGTTTAAACACCAGGAATATATGTAAAAAATGTCTCACCCTTTCTTATTAAATTCTTTCTCCAAATCCTTCAGAATCTTCGTCTTCTGAGCCTTGTAATGGGTTATTATGCCAATGTTTCGAAAGGAAATATCTTTTCTTTTTTCTTTAATAAGCTTAATTATTTCCATCACCAACTTTATTTCTTGAACATTCACATATGAGCTAAACAAGATGGAAAAGAAGACATCAACACCAGCAGCAGTCTGCTGCTCACTCATTCTTGGCTTCTTTTCAGCCAGCAGTGACTCAAAAGAGAATGTGACAATGATTATTCCTATGTATGAGTAACTACAAATAAGTGTTCAATGAAGCATGAAGCTACAGAAAGGAGTATGGCGTCAACTCAAGTTTAGGCAACAATTTCTACATCTGTTAAAACAGAAATGGAAATAGTAACATTCTAATGAGGAAGCTCTGGGTAACACTGACAGCAAACATAAGGATTGGAAATGTTCATATCGACCAAGAGCTTCATTAAGCCACACCAGCCCCCTAAGGACCACACATACTGCTGAGGAGCTGCCCTACACACAGCCAGGGTTGAACAGCATGGGCCTGGAAGCATCTTGTGCTGCCATTATCCTCTCTGCCAACTCGTTACCAAACTAGCTCTGACCTACACCAACACAGCTCCTTACACTTGAGTCTTAAAATACCCAACGACCGACATACTGTATCATTCCTACTGAACAGACCACTAGTTGCTGGCTGTCTTTCCTGTCCCTGAAATCCCAGGTAAACAGTCTCCAGCTTGTTGCTGCCTTCTGTTCCCATAATGCATTTGGGGCTTAGCTCTTAATTCTGGGCTCTGCCCCAGCAGGCCCCACCTCAGACCTTTCAGCTACAATCCCTGTGGCACTGCAACCCCAGAGGCAACTTCTCAAAGTTGGAGAGATGGCTCAGGCATTAAGAGCACTGGCTGCTCTTGCAGAGGACCTGGGTTCAATTCCCAGCACCCACATGGCCACTAACTCCAGTTACAGGGGATCCGACGTACTCTTCTGGCCTCCTCGGGCACTGCATGACACGGGTGCACTTCCATACAAGCTCATATATATATACAATAGAAATATTAAAGAACAACTGTGTTCTTACTCCTCTCACCTATACAATTTGCATTTTCTTGTGGTCAGGGCAAGGAGCAGTGTCTCTTCACATGCTGATAAATGCTCTCCAGACAACCCCTCCCCTCCTCACCCTGATCCCCGGCTCTCCTGAGGTCTATAGTCCACCCTCTCCACTTTGCTGTCATCTACACACAGCCCAAACCCACCCCTGTCTTAGGACTCCGAATCCTTGAAGCCGTTCCACTGGGCCTGGCCTTTATCTACTTGCTCATTTCTGTTCACGCAGCAGACTCTTCAAGGCACTTAACCATAATTACCCATCTAGATGACTGTCTAGTTAATGTCTGTCTCTCTGTAAGACCACAGTCATCTTACAAAGATGTCAAGGCTGTGTCTCTCAGGCAATGACCTCTCAAAGGCTTACTGACCACCAGAGAATCAATCACACAGAAAGGGGAAGCTACTAGCAGTGACAATGACTGTCCCAGCACTACAGAGACATGTATGTGCACGTTCTAAACATAAACCTCAACAAAAACAATGTGCCAACTCTGAGCCCATCCCTGGAGGGGGAGGAGGAGGAGAACATACTCATTGTCCCGCTGCTCTGAACCGTCTCCCACATCAAACACCAGGTAAGGCTGAAATGGCCAGTCTGATGAACATCGAATGGTTTCAGTCAATCTGCACAAAAGCAACCACAATCAGAAAATATACTAAAGTACATATTCTAACATTATCTTCATTTTTTTTTTTTTTTACCTGTGTGTGACAAAACCAAGAAACGTTAAGGGAACAAGAGCCCTTTTACAGCTGTAGACCTTTTAAGGTCTAGGGAAGGTGATCTACCCACCAAAAACCTAACGATTATGACTAGAAAGTTGCTCCTAACATAGCAAGTGAAAAAAGCAAGCCCCACGGGACGCACACAAAAGGGCAGAGCACAGACAGTGTAGCTCAGATGCAAAGGTACAGCATGGTTGACAGCAGGTCCAACCCCCAGCACCACCCACAGAAGATGGAGGCAAAGCTACCAGTGCACCTCTGGCTTCATCAAGTATGGGTGACTGCGACCCCCAATCAATCTGTCTGCACTTGATACAATCAACGTGATTGGCATTTATAATCAGACAAAATAAGGAAAATTTTATGATTTATACTGATGGATTTTTTTCCTTTTTCCTGAGACAGGGTTTTACTCTACAGCCTAGGCTTGCCTCAAATTTAAGACAATCCTCTTGCCTTGTCCTCCTCCTGAGTGCTAGGATCATAGGCATCAAGCCACCAGTCATGGCTATTCTGACTTAGGCTCTTTTTGACAAGACTTCATAAGCAGGTAATCCACAAATGAAACAAGTTGGCAGACAACAAAGGACACCTACCTGTTTGTCTTCAAGTTTTTGTTGTAAACGTAGTAAGAAGGGAAGAGACAAATGTCCGGATGCATCCTGTACTGGACAGTGAGCTGCAGGACTGGCAGTCTACCAATCAGGTGCTGCTCCACATTGTCCTCCAGCAGCTTGCAGAAGCGAGCCATCATTGACTGGTCATAGCCGTACTCCTGTGCTTTCTGGGAGGAGAAAGAAAGAACTTCTAGGAGCTGCTTTACACTCTCCCCAACCCTCTAAAATACGGTATTCCAGTGTGGATGTGTCAACCTTCAGATGGCTTACGATCACCACTAATCACAGAAAGAGGTATTTTCTGACCTTGATCCACAAAAAGCCACACACCCTGAATCTTTAGAACACTGCACACTATTCAAGAAAAAGAGGCAGTGGAGTGAATGGTCACCCAATGCTGCTTTGATACCAACAGGTCACCTGAGTGAACCAGCAATACAGGAAGCAAAGACATTTGACACAAACTTTAGCAATTATTTCTGGGGTAAGTTTTCAGCAGTAGAAATTTTGAGTGCATTACAAAATAAGCCTCTGAAGAGCGATTTCTTTATGTGCCCGTATGTGTGCTGAGCACTTACACTGAGACTGCCAAGGGAAAGGAGATCAAGCCCAGTAGCATTCATGCTCCAGAGGACAAACTCACTAAATTGATTTCAGAAGCCAAATGGTTACAACCCAGTGTGAAAAAGTGACCTACACAAGTACAAAAATTGCCAGTGTCGTCATAGTTGTGTTTTGTTTTGTTCTGTTTTTTGAGACAAGCTCTCTGTAGCCCCAGCTGGTCTGGAACTCACTTATGTAGACCAGGCTGACCTCGATCTCACAGAGGTCCACCTGCCTCTGCCTCCCGAGTGCTAAGATCAAAGGTGAACATCACAATGCCCAGTAAAGCACAGTAATTTTCAGTGTAGCATCATACAAAGATTCAAAAACCACTTTATCTTAAATAACCTGGAAGTTAAAATGTGTTCCAAAAACTACACATGGTGTGGTGACGGGTCATGCATAAGGCTGAAGACACACGTGTGAAGATGGACATGCAGTGCAAAGTGTCTGTAACTCAAACGCCAAGCATGAAAACAAGCCATTCATGTGATTTTAAATAGCCCTGCTTGACCAACAAGTTATGAAGACATCTGACATTATGTTCCCCAAAGTGTATTCAATTTGGCCCCAAAACCGGTTTTTAATCTTCTCTCAGAGGAAATATAAAAGGACTTATATAAGATAATATAACCTACCTCCAGGGGAAAAAAAAAAACAGAAGCTGAGCCCAACCTACAAAATAACATAGATTTGTATTTCATGACATGAAGGGCTGTTTCTGCAGTAGCTGGAAAAAAGCCAAAAAGCCAATTCTATAGAGACTACTTCTGTTACCTTCAAACAATAGCCTACATATATTCAGACATACACATGGACACAAACCTAAAAACAAACTGCCTGTTACCTGCTGAAATGTAAGTGCCATGACAGCAGGCACTGTGGGTCTTTTCATGATCACAACTTCAACGTCTAAAACAGCACCTGAGCTGGGTGTGGTGGCTCATGCCTACAATCCCAGCACTCAAGAAGCTGAGGCAGGAGGATCAGCAAGTTCAAGGACAGCCTGGGCTATACAACTAGCTCCAGGCCAGTCTGGGCTACTATGTAGGGGACACTCTGTCTCAACATCTCCCACAAAAAGAAATAAAATCAAAAATAAAAACAGTACTTGAATCGCGCTGGCACTCGCTATATGATACTGAAAAAAAAAAAAAATGGAATGGAAGCGCTTAACGCTTGGGAGAATCTGTTAACCTTTTCAGTTAACCCCTAGAAAACATGCGGCTTAGCAAAGACATTGCTGGAAAATCAACTTTGTAATCACTTTTTTAAATTTTCTTCAATAAGCTTCTTTTAATTGTACAATTATAAAAAGAACACAGTTAAAGTTTTTATCAAGTATCAAAGAAGGCCGTCCAGCCAACCCCAGTAAGAACCCCTTTACTACATGCTGAGGCCCCTTTTCAAGAGTCAAGTCAGTAAATTTTAAAGACACTAGTACTTGAAAAAAATGTTGTCAAGCTCCTCCTTCCAGCACAAGTTTAGCTGTGCACTGTACTCATGTCACACAAAGAACTACACAATCATTCTGAATAATCCAAAGCAAAAAACAAATGGCAACAACAAGAAACAAACGGAATGAACAGAAATGCTTTGAAAAGACCCATTCTCTGGATCTGCATAAAAGCACCACAATCTTATAAAAACAAAGTTTACTAAATTTCAAAACCATGTTGAGTAAAGCTCTTCAGATGGACAACCCCAAACCACCGAATCAGGGCTGACATGCACTTCGGCAGACATGTCTAGTGGGAGCTGGACCGCGCTCAGGCACTGCTTTCTCCCCAGCTGAGCTCACGAGGAACTCGCTCTTTCCCTACTGTCTTCACTGTCAAGAGCTGGGAGGGGCACGGACATGTCCTTCAGCCAGGGGGAGAGAGTGCCAAAACCGAAAATGTTCTTTCCCAATCATCTCTCCTACTTATGCCTTCCTCAACCTTCTACACACTTACATGAATCAAGAGGTTGAGATTCTTTACATTTAAAGTTCTTCTTATCTATGTTTTGTGTTCTTATCAAAATAAATCAGATAGAGCTAACCCTTAAAATATCTGCACTCAGCCTGGGCACCTGGAGTGCTGCTGCCTAGGCTTTCCTGCCTCCTTCATGGCTCTTACTACACACACACACACACACACACACATACACACACATACACACACACACACAGACACACAGACACACACACACACACACATACATACTCATACACACACACACACAGACACACAGACACACACACACACACATACATTACCAAGGCTGGTGCAGGTAGGGCAGACTTCCTAGTGGCCCAGAGGCCCTTGGGTCAGGCACAACTATGGCCTCTCTAGCCTCTGAGGGTACACACACACACACACACACACACACACACAGGGAAGCACACCTGTGAACAAGGAGGACATGTGCAGATTTTCACTTTCTCTTTTTTAGTGACAAAGGCTCACTATGTAGCCCAGGCAGGCCTCAAACCCGAGATCCTGCCTCAGCCTCCCGAGTACTGAGAACTGCAGGCATGCACGATCATGCCCAGTCAGTATTTTTCTTACTAAACTTCAAACAAGACTTTTTTCTCAGCCATTCCCTATTTTCCCCTTTACTACGAGATGACAATTCACAACAGAACCATCCTCCTAAAACAAAAACAGCCCATCCAACCTCGACAGGAAAACACTCACCATAGAAATCACTGTGGGAGGGAGTTGCTTAGGGTCTCCTACTAGGACAAGTTTGTTGCAGCGGTGGATGAGTGGAGAAAGAGTCTCAACTTCACAAGACTGCCCAGCCTTTGTGAGAAAGTATAGGAGAAAAGCCTTGATTATCTTTGCTACTCATCCATCCACATACTCTGGCCCACTTCATAAACTTGGAACCACTCAGGGAAGTACTACACTTCTCCTACATGACAGGTCCATTGTTTTTAACATGTACTGGGGAATGAACTCAGGGCCTCACACATGCTAGGCAAGTGCTCTAGTACTGAACTATCCCCAAGCCGCTTCTATACCAGACATCAAATAAGGATTTTTATGTTTTAAATACACCACACGTTTGCATGAAAACATCCTTCTGTAACCTAGTGTCATGTACAACAAAGGTAATAGTAATGAAAAACACACATACAAATTTTAAAAAATGAAGCTGGAGAGATGGCTCAGCAGTTAAGAGCACAGCCTGTCCTTGCAGAAGACCTGGGTTCGATTCCCAGCACCCACATGGCAGCTAACAACTGTCCGTAACTCCAGTTCTAGATCTGACACCTTCTTCTGTCTTCCACGGGCATTGCCTGACACGGGTGCACTTACCTACATGCAGGCAATACATGTATACACATAAAATAGAAATAATAAATAAAATGTTTTAAAAAATAATAAAAAATGTAACATGTATTTTGAAGTCAGCTACCACAAATGCCACTGTGGGAACAAGTTACAAGTCTGAAGGCTGTCAGCATCCTGGGTTTGTGTCTTTGTTCCTGCCCAGCTTGAGGCAGAGAACTTTTCCCTCTCTAGTAGTACTGTCTTACAACTTTATGTCTCAACTTCAGATGCTGCATGAGGTCTACCTGTGCCTCTCTTTCCTCTGATCTGGTGACACGACCTTGACGGCACCATCTCCACCTTTTCTATACTTTCATTCTGGTGAATACTGTTTCCTAATCATAGTTTGATGCATAACTGTACATACTTATAGAGAGCTGCATCTTCTGGACTGACTCTGTATCTAATGCTCCACTTTTCTGTCTTCTGACTTTTCACCCAGGAAAACAGGTACACAATAAATGCATGTTCAGTGGACAAAAAAAAAAGATGTTAACTGAAAATATCTGGTCAAAGTTGTTCAAAATTAAAAACATTAGCTGGGCATGGTGGTGCATGCCTTTAATCACAGTATTGGAGAGGCTGAAGCAGGCAGATCTCTGTGAGATCAAGGCCAGCCTTTGTCTACATCAAGTTCCAGGCCAGCTGTGGCTACAGGGAGACCCCGTCTTAAAAAGACAAAAAACAAAACAGAAAGTTAAGTAGCCAGAGACCGTCAAGCAGGAGCTCAGCAAGGACACTGTTGGGAACAGTCAGGGGTCCCTGAAGACCTGAAGCCAACTCGAATTGTGGAGGGTCATTAGCAACATATTTCACATGAGAATCCACACACAATGGCAGGTAAGGGGCTGAGGATGCAGAATGCTTCCCAACATGGGCAGGGCCCTAGGTTCAATGCCCAGCACTATCAAAGAGTAAGTTTCTAACAGTTTATTCACATTTCAGCAGCCATAATTCACCTAAACCTCTTCCTACTATTAGTCAAAACCGTATGGCGTGTTATCCACTGACCTCATCCACAATGACACAACTGAAGGGGACACCCCCTTGCCCTCGAAAGGCAGACTCAAGCAGCAAGCCTCCACTTGTGCTCAATGTGCAGCAGATGACATGGGACTCCAAGATGATGGTGTTCTGTGTTTTCTGTGGGCGTCCCTGAACCTAGGGAGACAAGGAACGGTTAACACGCTAACCTGTACACAGATCCTGACTATGACGGTCACTTTCTACTAGTCAACACCACTTTTTTCTTTTGTTTTTAAGGTTTTTTTTTAATTTATATTTATGTGTGTGTCCTGCCTGCATGTATATAAGTGCACCACATGTGTGCAATGCCTGCAGGCCTGAAGAAGGTGACAGATCCCCTGGAACTGAAGTTGTTAGCCACCATGTGGGGAATCAAACCCAGGTCCTCTGAAAAAACAGCCAGTGCCCTTAACCACTGAGCCATCTCTCCAGCCCACCATATTTTCTTTTTTTTATTATTTTAAATATTTTATTTATTATTTCTAGTTTTTTATGTGTATGTGTATATTGCCTGCATATAGTAAGTACACCCATGTCACGCAATGCCCTTGGAGGACAGAAGAGGCTGTTGGAGCCCCTGGAACTGGAGTTATGGACAGTTGTAAGCTGCCATGTGGGTGCTGGGATTCGAACCTGGGTCTTCTGCAAGAACATTCAATGTTCTTAACTGCTGAGCCATCTCTCTAGCCCCACTCCACCATATTTTCATATGACAAAATGATATTTAATAAAAGAGGGAAGCATCAGCTCTAGAACAGGAAAAATATCTACACAAACCAATCATTGGCCTCAAGGCATGTATGTGACTTCTAGGAAAAGGTGGCAATGGCTCCCCAGTGCTCACAGGCTAAAGCACTGTCAGGTACCTCATCTCTCAGCAATCTACTGAGTAGTCTGCCAAACAGGGTTAATTTCACAGCCCTCAGAAGTCATGTGTGATGAGCAACAGAAACCACAGTACCCATGAACAATGGACTTCATAAATACTGGAAGATTAATTTGAAGCTCAGTTTAAACTGCTAATGGAAATATATATAAACCCAACTCTATCTCAGATCAAAAACACCAACACTGGAACCGGTGTGGTGGCGCACGCCTTTAATCCCAGCACTTGGGAAGCAGCCCTCTGTGAGTTTGAGGCCAGCCTGGTCTACACAGCGAGTTCCAGGCCAGCTGGGGCTACAGGGAGACCCTGTCTCAAAAAATAAATATTGGTTCAGCGGTTAGCATACTTGGTGTTATTGCAGAGGACCAGAATTCAAATCCCAGTACTCACATCAGACTGCTCACAACTACTGTAACTATAGCTTGAGGGGACTCAACACCCCTCTGACCCAAGTTCGATTCCCAGCACTCACATCACATGGCAGCTAACAACTGTCTGTAACTCCAGTTCCAGGGGATCCAATGCCTTCTTCTGATCTCCATGGGCACTGCACACAGGTATATTTACTTACATGCAGGCAATACATTCATACACATTAAAAAAAAATGAACTACTAAAAAAAAATAATACAAATAACACTTTTACACTGCCCCCCTAACCTACCTGACCTAATTAGAGGTGCATTCTCATCATCCAGTCACAAATCTGGCCCAGCCCACCTTCAAGTAGTCTAATGATTTTTTTTCAAGATTTTTTTTGGGGGTCTTTTTGAGACAGGGTCTCCCTGTAGTCCCAGCTGGCCTGGAACTCAGTATGCAGACCAGGCTGGCTTCAAACTCACAGAGATCCACCTGCCTCTGCCTCCGAAGTGCTAGGATTAAAGGCATGCACCACCACACCTGGCTTCAAGACTTTATTTTTATTTCATGTTTTGCCTACATGTATATATGTGTACCACATGCATGCCTGGTGCCTACAGAGGCAAGAAGAGAGTGTCAGATCCCCTGGAAATGGACTTACAGGTGGTTGTTAACCGCCACATGGGTGCTGGGAACCAAACTTGGGTCCTCTGCAAGAGCAGCCTGTGCTCCTAAACATGGAGCCTTCTCTCCAGCCCTAATTAGTCTAGCTCTTCTCTGATAGTTTTGCACCCAGAGAATACTAGGGAGAAGCAATGCAGGTGAGATCAGTCAGAAAACTACTAAGTGTATTAAATATGTACAGTTTGGTTTTGGTCATTATTCCGTGAACAATACTGGGTAACAGTGATTTATGTAGAATTTGCATGGTATTAGGTATTATAAGAAATCTAGAGATAATTTAAAGTATATAGCCCAACATACATAGGTTATATGCAAAAGCATCCTTGGACTGTGGCGTGGGTGGCATCTTGAACACCAGGGAACAATTATAAATGATACAGAATTCAAACACAAGAAGCTTATGCTCTGAGCCAAGAATTCAACAGGGGTGGGCAGCTGTACTTCCTTATGCCAACTCCTACCCCACTACTGCTCTACTTCTACTCAGACTACAGCACAGCACAGTCCACGGCTGCCACCTTCTTCCTAGATTTACACGTGCTGATCTCTGCCTCTCTTAGTCTTTTTTAGTGAAATACCCCCAAAACCGAGTTTCACGAACTACTCACTGGTGACAACAGCCACACTTGCTTTTCGCAGTGTGGGGAAGAAAGGAATAGAGATTTTTCCATATTGATCCAAACTTAAGAGAAAAAAATTTCAAAAATGTATAAAGCACCTTTACCTTTCCTAGAAATCTTGATGGTGAGATGAAATTACTTAGGTTAAAAAAAAAATGTAAATGTAATTATACAATTTTCTCCACATTTTTAGGTATGATTTTTGGTATTAGTTTTTAAAACCTAACTTTAACTCTCATGTTGTCTGAACTAGTTCATAAACAAAGTGCAGCGGGTAAATTATTTACCTCTTTGATTTTTGAAGCAAGTTCTTGCCTTTCTTTTGAAACTCTGACAATGTTTTCATCTAATTCTTGCTTCTGGAAAAAAAAAAAAAAAAATTAGAACAGCATCATGAAAACTAAGTGCATTAGAGGGCTTTATACCAGACAGCTTAGTGTTTCAGAAGTGAAAATCTCACCAATAAAAAATTTACCAAACCAGCGCGTTTCCTGTTTACCAGTAACATTCTGACACTTTCTGTCTAGCTCCAAGATTCAACCATGTCTAGTATGCTGCATGTATGTCATCTGTCTGCCTAGTATCTCGATCCTCAGAGCATCACTCCCTCACTCTTTTCTAGGAGGTTCAAACTCAACCCAACAATCCCTTTCCCACAGTGATAAGAAACCAACACAGGCCTGGGAAATGAGGGCACCCGTTCCCTAAGTAAAACCAGGGATTGGACCTGCTTGGCGACAGGGACTGATCAGAGTGCATCCTTGGAACCGATGCATGGAAGTGGGGTTTCACTGGGATGGTGAGCCCAGAGATGGTGGCACTTGTCTTCTCATGGAAAAGAAACGGCTGACACACAGAGAAAAACAATCACAGAGTGGAGAAATAAATGCTACCAGGTTAGCCTCTTGATCCAAATATATGGAAAGCTAATTCACTTTTGCTTTCTGGAGTATTTGAGCCAGTAAATTCCCTTTTGGTTTAACCTAATTTGAACTGGGTTTTACTGAACTCATCAACTGAAAAGTGCCTAATAAACTCAGTGTAACTTAAATATATAATTTGGCTACAATCCAAATATAATAAACCATCTACTTTATTTACAAAAGTTTTACTGCAACATAGCCCCATGCATCTGTTTACATTTATCTTTGACAGGTTTTGAGCTCTAGGAGTTGAGAAGCTGTAACAGGATTGGATGGTCTATAAAACCTTCCATATTTACTTTGTCCTTTACTAAAAAAAAGCTTGCTAACCTCTGATGTAAGGCACACCACCTTAGCAGACTTATCTGGGAATCACGCATTCCCCAAAAAAAGAATGACAGCACATACTCATCAGCTAGTTTGTGTTTAAGTTACTCCTCAAAGATTAGAGTTAGGAAATGTTCAGATACCTGTATTTCCCTCCCACCTCGGCATAAAGCTCGCTGGCGGGAAAGCTCATCGAGTTGGCGATCTAGAAACTCTTTTCTTCTATGCATTTCTTGAACATGAGAAGGCAAGTCTTTTTCTAATATAAATTTAAAAATCACATGTTAATTCTAACAAACTCATACACAATATAAACCACAATGAGAAGGAAAACTCCTTCCCAAACCTAGACTATTTCTGAGGTCTCCACATTACCATTAGTGCCCAAGTTATTTTTTTACCTTATAGAAGGAGAGAGAACACTAACATGAAATGAAGTTAGTACTTACTCATTCTGTGGTTAACTTGACTATCCAAACTGAATCTTAGTACCTCACTATTAATAGACTTTTCAGGACCCAGTCGTACTAAATTTATATCTCCACAATTTCCTGTTGATAAAAAAAAATTACACTTAAAAAAATTAGTAAAGAAACTGCCAATAAAAGCCATCCCGACATACAATATTTTCTTTGTAGAATACATACTTCTAAGCAAATACATTAACAATCAGAGAAGGGAACCAAGAGCTGTTAGCATGTGCCAGGAGTTACACTGGCGTCTTCACTAGTGCAGACTTCTTCATGGCACTCTAGAAGGCAAGTACACATCACTTCTACTTGCCACAAGCTGGCCAGGTCACATACACAGTACAAGGCAGAGTTGACAGGACTGAGGGCTACGGACACAGTAAGTATCTCTACTAAGGCTAGTATTGACTGCTTTCAATAAGCCCATGTGTAACCTGGTCTTTCGTCCCCTCCCACGGCTCTAACTCACTAAACATCTACTAAGCCTCAATTGAGTGCCAGGCAGTGCTCTAAAACTGGAGATGCTCTGCAGACCCCCGGGTCCTTTGTGAGCCTCACTGCATTCTAGCTACTCAACCACCCGAGGGTCTCCTACCCTAGTCCTTTTTACTTATAAGTACCATGCATCAGGGCCCTTTTGCCTCCCTTCTTGAGGCTAACTACTAATTGCTCTTCAGGCTTTTTCTTCGACATCATTTCAAGTATCTGCCCCCCTCAGCTCTCACACAGCTGAATCAAGGGACTCTCTCAGGTGTCTGAAAACACCCACTTTTAGCTCCAGTGTACACTGCATCCTCTATGTTCTTAATGATCTGTCCAATTTCTGATTTACATTCACTCTGAGGTACTTACTGCTGAAACTTCAGTAGTTGGCACAGTGCCTGGTAAAGGGCAAATGCTCTTTTAAAGTAGCTGGAAAATCAATTAACAAGTATATACAGGCCACAGCCCCTCATGGAAGCTGTTACCAGGAATGGCTTGTTCTGTCAGTCAAAGAATACTGAAAACAAAAGCATATTTTAAGAAGCATGTAATCCACAGGTATGGTGGCACATGCCTTTAATCCCAGCTCTTGGGACGCAGAGAGAGTAAGATCTCTGTGAGATCAAGTCCAGCCTGGTCTACATAATGAGTTCAAAGCTAGCTGGGGCTACAGGGAGACCCTGTCTCAAAACATGAAACAAAAACCCAATAAAAAAGGAGCCAGGCGTGGTGGCACACACTTTTGATCCTAGCACTCGGGAGGCAGAGGCAGGCGGACCTCTTTGAGATCAAGGCCAGCCTGATCTACATAGCAAGTTTCAGGCCAGCTGGAGCTACAGAGAGACCCTGCCTCAAAAAGACCAAAAAAAAAAAAAATTCCCATGTAAGGGGCAGGTGAGATGACTCAGCAGGCAAAGCTGCTTGCTTCAAACCTGAGAGTCTGAATGGTATTCCTGGGACCCACATGGAAGAAGAAGAAAATCAACTCCTAAGAGCTGTCGTCTGATCTTCACATGTATGTATGTGTACACACACACACACACACACACACACACACACACACAAAATAAAATATAAACAAAACTCAGCATCATACCCAGAGGATTCTTCTTGTCTTTACATTTTTCTTTGAATTCTAGGATAATTTTTTTCATAAGTTCATCAACAGCTGCATTGGAAGGTGCACACACGAGGACACGGTTTCGTTTGATTTTGGCATTGAAGTTTTCATCAGAACGGCCTTTCCTCTGACTCTACAATTTGTCACAGACATACACACAGAATCACTGATGAGCTCTATACATAGCATTCAAATCTTTCTCTACTTTCAAGAATGCTTAGAAGTTCTCACCACAGTTAAAAAGAAAAGCATTTGTATGTTTCACAGTTTTAAAATCACTGGCACACGTGATAGGGGTATACTATCTAGCACCTGCTTAGCACATACAAGGCCCTGGGTTTCATTCTCAGCACCATAAAAACCCCCCAAATAAAACAAAGCCTACTGTCCCAACAAAGTGTATTACAACAGGTCTCTCACTGAGCCTTCTTTCCCCACTACTTTAATCAATAGTCAGTCCATCCAACCAACAGCTGGCTCAGAAGTGCATTCAAGATGTTTCCTGGCATTAGATATGACTATAACGAAGCCCACCGACTATCATTTTAGTCCTTAGGATTTGTTTCATGAGACAGTGTTTCCTTCTTAGAACGTGTCTTCCCTCTGCCACTTCTTTCCCTGATACACTTCTACACAATACTAAAAATACACCAGTAGGAGCTTCAAAGAGGGCTCAGCCATTCAAGAGCACTTACTGCTCTTCTAGAGGACCCAAGTTCCAAAGCTCTCTTCTGGTCTGTATAGGCATATACACACATAACATACATTCCCACATAAGTAACCATAAATCTTTAGGGCTGGGGAGATGGCTCAGAGGTTAAGAGCACTAGTCCCACGGAGCACCCAGGTCTGGATCCCAGCAATCACATGGCAACTAACAACTGTCCACAACTCCAGGGGATCGAATGCACCCTTTTGGTGTCTGTGGGCATTGCATCACACAGGTGCACTTACCTACATGCAGGCAATACACGCATACACATAAAAAAAATAAAATAAAATAAAATAAATACACAAGCATGTTGACAGTTGTGCTCCTTCATTAAAGGAGGGGCAAGCAGGGTCAGTACACCTTCACTGGAGTATCCAGCCACTCTTTCCAGCCAACTGTATGTAATTTGGCCCTAATCACACATGTCCTCCTGGAATTGAAGAGGACTAAAGTATACACTCTGGGGAAGGCTAGGAAGAGAAGGCTTGATCCATGCTGGGTAAAGGCTTTCCAGTGTGCATACCCCAGGTCACTCACACATCTCAGCAACCCCTCAGGAAATTCATTGGTTCTCCAGGAAAACTTTAACCTAACATTGGTTTCACAATGGAACCTTAAAAGGGGATAAGCACTGTGCTTAGTATCCCCAGGAAAAGAATTCTCACAACCGATGGAAAATTTTTGTTAATGTTATTATGTCTCATAATTATTAAAAAGAAAATGAGACTGTAAAAGATGTTAAAAGGAAATGGGAATTTAGATATTTTAAAAAATAGAAAAAAAAAGAAAGCCCAAGCAAGTGATGAAGGTCTGTGTAGGTTTGTTATGATATATAAAGGATGAGACAAAAATAATATACACATAATCTTAAAATATCTATGGTCATAGTTTAGTCATAGTTTAAGGAACAAAATACATGTCTAATCAAGGTTTAGCTGAGAATGATTGCTTTTTGCCCAAGCTTTATCTACATAGCACATGGTAACTGAAAGTACCAGACTGGTGGAACTAACCTTCTTGGATGTTTAACAGCAATAGTTTGAGGCCTACACTAATGTGGTCAGAGGGACTTAAAGGATAGTTTTTGCCCCTTGACCTCCAATGTTGACTAAGTTCCAGGGGACTATGGAACATCTCTCAAAATATCCTGTAACTGTGGTGAGTCACTTGTCCTCTTGTTCAGGGAGGCTATGGAGACCCCACCAGATGAACATGAACCAGTGTCCAGTCTACAAAGAGGAGGGTCAACTCAGAGGAAACATCTCATCCATACTGACAAGTAAAGCCAGACATGGTCAAGCAGACCTTTGACTTATCTTTACACAGACGGAACTGGTAAAAGAAAGGAGTCAGGGGCTCCTCCCAAGCCCATGTGACCCCTGAGAAACAGATCCTCAATCGACCTTAAGTGTAAAAATTATTTATTTGGAACAACTGTATGGTCTTAAACACCCAAAAGGAAAGTATAACCAAAGAGTAAAGTCATCAGTATATTTCTTTAAGAGTTCAAGGGATTATACTTCCCAGACATTAGGCTTAAGTCTATATAAAAAGTTATTGGGACAGTTATTTCTCATTGATGATTTTGTTCCTAATCAGAAAGTGCTACTCAGATGTAAGACTTCAAATCTTGGTCTGCAATACTGTAGTGCCCCCCTGTAGCTAAGGGAGACAACCTGTTATTGTTCTAAAATGATGGCCAAATTTGTTTTCTCCCCCATCTAGAAGCCTTTGAGAGGAACTGACTGACTCTAGCTACTCCAACAGCTATCAATGTGCCTGAAAACAAATCCTGAGTGTATCATTCTCAAGTCCAGCCTTGGCAGACAAAAGAAAAATGAGGAACCCAATAGAGGTATGCTTTTGGAAGCTCTCATCAAGAAATCCCAATGGACTCTGATATGAACATTCTAGTTCCCTGTCTAGAACTTGTAATGCTAACTACTCTTGACTTTACTTTCACATCCCCTAATCACCAGTCAAGGACTTTCTTTTCTCCCTATAAATAAGAGTTATGCAATTTTAGATAGACCCACTGAAGGGGTACCCCAATTGCCTCACCCTGCATCCTTGCTCAGCATGGAAGAAGCCAGAATGGTCTGAGTCCTGATTCCCTAACAGCAATCTGGGTAACCTCATTAGAGAATGGTTTAAGAATAGGAGGTAGGAATTGGCTAGGCAGTTAAGAGTAAAAAAAGACCCCAAAGAAAAGTAGCCAGTTTCTTTGCTAAAAGTCAAAATGTCCTTGGGCCTCTTAGCAACATACTCTATTCCAAAGTCCAAAAATGTCAAAAGTATTTGGGAGCTCTTATCTAATCTGTAAAAGATTTTAGGGTTACCTGGTCAGAGGGGAGAATGTTAGAGTAGCAAAAAGCCCCAAGAAAGAAAAGAAAGAGGGAAGGAAGGGAGGGAGGGAGGGAGGGAGGGCAAGAGAAAGGAGAAAGAAAAGGAGAGAGAAAGAAAAAAGAAAGGAAAAGAAAGAAAGAGAGAGAGAGAAACAGACAGACAGGGAAGGGAGGAAGGGAGGGAGGGTGCATGAAGTTGTCAGAAAAAAATAATGGGGAGACATGGGACGAGTAGGAGGGGAGGGAGTGGACTTGATCAAAACACCTTATATGCATGTATGAAATTATAAATAAGGGTTTTTTTAAAGCTAGAAAAAAAGAGAGAACATCAAGCTATACAAGAGGAAGAATAAACTTTTGGCAAATTAATTAAATTGTAAAACAAAAATACACAAGCAAAAAAGAAACGGCATTTTAATACTCACACATCTGTTAACTCAGATAATGGAAATGCATATCCCCAGTTAACAGAACCCCACCTACCTCTGTCAGTAAGCGATACAAGAGGCCAACGATAGTTTTTGATTTTCCTGTTCCAGGTGGTCCATGAATCAGACAGATTTTGGCAACTGATGGTGACTGCCTCACCATGGCAAACGCAGTTTCTATTGCTTTCTTTTGGTCGTCATTAAAATCTTTTAGATAGGTAATCTATAGAAAAAGAGTTTTTTCTAAGCTTGAGTTTTTTCTGTAGTGAAAGGTTATGAAAAGCATCTGTTCAAATTTCTGCCGATTCATGTCATAAACACAAAGTTTCATTACGGCCAGGCAAGATCACTAATCTAAGAAACACTTTTACAACTAGCGAAAAACTGGGCTGGAGAGATGGCTCAGCGGTTAAGAACACTGACTGTTCTTGCAGAAGACCCAGGTTCGAATTCCAGCACCCATATGGCAGGTAACAATTGTCCGTAACCCTAGTTCCAGAGAATCTGACAGCCTCTTTTCTCTTCCACAGGCACTGCACACGGGCGCACTTACCTACATGCAGGCAATACATGCATACACATAAAATAAAAATATTTTTAAAAAACATCTAGCAAGCCAGGCATGGTGGTGCACGCCTTTAATCCCAGCACTCGGGAGGCAGGGGCAGGCGGATGTCTGTGAGTTCAAGGCCAGCCTGGTCCACATAGTGAGTTCCAGGACAGCTGGGGCTACAGGGAGACCCTGTCTCAAAAAGACCAAAAAAGAAAAAGGAAAAGAAAAGAAAAAAAAAAACTAGCGAAAAACCTAATTAGTTATTAATTACTAATTAGTGTCCATAGGCTTTAGCACACTTATAAATGCAACTGTACTTTTGATTCTTATAAATATGATTGCCAACAAATTCTGTAAATTAATCTATGCTTTTCTTCTATTATTCTGATTTATTTTTTCCTATTTAGTCAATTCTCTCCTTAGTAGCAACATTCCAAGAATATTTCTTTCTTAATACAATGTCACTTAAGTGGAGAAAACAGAATTCTGAGAGTCCGTCTTCCTTTCAAGTTAGATGGCTACTCCTCACTTCTTTGAGCTTAGACTTGTTGCTCATAAAACTGAGATTCCTTAAAGGTTAAGAAATGACAGACCACACATGAAATTGTAGCCTCCTTTTGTAGTTCTTGTGTTAGTTTCCTGGTATGTGTGTATACACACACACACACACACACACACACACACGATTTTTACGGTGAAAAATATAGAGTTATGCAAGATGACAATTTCATCTTTGCATTTACAATAATCCCAGCCAATGCTACATACCAACTATTTAAGTGCAAGACTCACTCCACTATATCTGAAGACTCCTAAACGCCTGCATTTTGAAGACCCAGTGAACCTTCTGAGCAGGACACTAAGGGAACACTGACAGCACCCTTTCAGCACACCTTCAACTCTATCGTCCCGTACCTTCCCTGACATAAGCTTATCTAATTATCACTTTGCGATATTAAAGGAAACTAAACCACACTGTGCACTGCACAATGAGCGTGCCTTGTTGGTGAACATACAGGAACATGCATGCAGCAGTAAAAACACTCTGATAACAAGTCTTCTGACCCCTGGGGCCTCATTCAGTCAATACTCACAATTCTTTCAGATGTTGGAGTTAGTAAATCTTTGGTACAGAAGTCCGTGGGGTTTGGATTGAGAACAGCTCTAGCCAATTGGTTCCGACCACTCAACAGAGACATGGCTTTTAATTTCCTTTGTGTGGTTACCAGAGAACTGATTACAATACATTTTACAAATTCATTTAACTTAGCTGGCAAGTTATCTTGAGTCTGTATCGAAAGGGAGCACTCAGCTTTCCCATTACGCACTATTGTCAAAAAGGAGAAAAAACAATTTATCTGTGAATAAAAAGGTTAAAAGCATTTACAACTTAACATTTTATATGATGTAAACAATTCACTTGTGTTAGCCAGTGCCTCCTAGGAACAAGACAATGAGCCTGTCCTCCAGATACTTATTTTCTGGAGCAGGGAAGGAGGCCGCTACCTAAGAATGTCAATGCTGTCATGTTAATGTCATGATGGAGACAGGGAACAGGCATGAGCTGTGGGAGAGCAGCGGAGACAGGCTGGCAGGGTCTTCCTGGTGAGCTAAAGGCAAAGCAAGGGAGAAAACTGCTTCCTCTTAAGGAGGAAAAGCATGCTTCCTCCTTAAAGAGGAAGAGTGAGCAGCGACAATGACCATGAGGGGGCAACGGATTGGCAGTATCGTCTATCTAGGGAGGCGGTTAGTACAGCTAGGAAGGCCTGGGAGATGGCTCAGTGGTGGGGGTGTGAACTGCGCATGGAGAGGACCTGAGTTCAGTTCCCAGCACCTATGTCAAGCAGCTTACAACTGCCTGTTAAGTAACTCAGGGGATCTAATCCCTCTGGCCTCCACGAGTACCTGCAGTCATGTATACATACACACACAGGTAGACACATAATTAGAAACAAAATAAACAAATTACTTTAGATCATAAGTAATAAATTCAGGATCTTAAGTGGACAAAGTAAAGGAATTCTAAATGGTAAATTGGTAGCAAAATACAGGCTAAGAAAACACCATCTGGGGAGAAACAAGGTGACCTTGCTGGTGCCTTCTATTGACTTACTGGTGGAAGTGCGGCGGAATTTGTGAACATAACCACAGTAATATTCATTATCCTGCACACAGTTTCTGTTCCCATTTTTCTTCTCTCCATTCACTCTGTCATGAACCAAAAACACCAAATCATTTTCCTTTGGATGAAGCTGTTTCGCTAGTTCAGATTCCTCCAGATGGACTACAAAACAAAAATCGCCATTTATGTAACTAGCAGATCTGAAGATCTTTTTGAAACAGGATCTCGTCTCCTCGTAGCCCCAGCTGTCCTGGAACTCACTGTGTAGACCAGGTTGGCCTTGAACTCAGAGAGATCCACCCACCTCTGCCTCCTGAGCGTCGGAGCTAAAGGCATGCGCTACCATGCCCGGAAATTAAATCTTTGTAGGGAGTTCAAAATCAGAAAAGACTTGATGGATTCTATATATACTTTAAAACGGCAATGTAATACAATAAAAATCTAAAATACTTATAGTTTTCTTTAAAATTGCCACAAATGGGGGCTGGAGAGATAGTGCAGCGGTTAAGAGCACTGACTGCTCTTGCAGAGGACCTAGGTTCGATGCCCAGCACCCACAATGGCAGCTACAAACCATCTGTAACTCCAGTTCCAAGGGAATCCAAAACCCCTCTTCTGACCTCTGCAGCATTGCACGACGTGGGTGCACTCGCATACATGCAGGCAATATACTCTTACACAAAATTAAAATAAAACAGAATATGAAATAGTAAAATAAAATAAAATTGCCAGAAATGAAGTCATAGCCAACTGTGATTATCTACACAAGACCAGTAAACACAAGACCTGTACAAGATCCAGCCAGGTCAACACTCCAGCCTGCAGTGGGAGGGACTCCAGAGGCCCTGTCCCAACTGAAGAGCTACTGGCAGCTGAAGGCTATGGGGAGGGAGAGTGGCTTCTCTTGAGCAGTGTGGCCACGAGTGCTCCAGTAGATGAGGCCATGTCCATGCACACAGAGACAGCACTAACTGGACTCAATGGGTTAAAAAAAAATAATTAAAAATTATAAGAGGGGGACGTGAACTTGGGAAGTGATGGGAGATCCTGGGGGGAGTTAAAAGTGGAGGGGGAGTAAGGGGTGAGTATGATCAAGATACATTATATACATGTGTCAGGGACACCTTTAATGCCAGCACTTGGGAGGCAGACGCAGGGAGATCTCTGTGAGTTTGAGGCCAGCCTGGTCTCCATATCAAGTTCTAGGCCAGCTGGGGCTACAGGGAGACCCTGTCTCAAAAAGACAAAAAAAATATATATATCTATATATATAGATATATATATGTATAAAATACACACACACATCTTGGCACATGCATGCACAAATAAATAAATGTAATTTAAAACTTTAAAACCATAATTAGGAGCCCAGAGCCATGAAACAAATTAAAAAATGAAAGGAACAACAAAGAGGTTATTTGTTGATTACAAATGGAAAAACAGTCACTCCATAGACAGCCCGTTAACCAAGTTATTCAGATCCACATCCACTGGGAAAAGCACAGGACTTCTTCATTTCTCTTACCATAATGCAAAACCAAAATGGACATTCTACAAACTAACTGCACAGCATTCATGAAAGTGAAGGCGAACTAAGGAACTAACTGTTCTGGACGGGATGGGACTAAGTAGACAGCAGAACTGTGATTTGGGCTCCATGTCTATGCCAGATGTTAACATCTGAGGACACGTGTGGAGTGGACAACAATTCTACTATGAATTCTGCACCAGGTTTTTAAAGTCTGAAGTTATGTGAAGAGGAAAAGCTTACTCTTCCAACTCCAGCACCAGTGTCCTTCCTCCTCACCTTACTCCAGTCTACAAACCCCTCCCATGAGAGCCATTTCAAAAGTTTCAGTTACTTAGACATCTGCTCTGCTCACAACACAAGAACAGCTGCACTCCTATGCAAACGCTTCTACCACTACCACCGAACTCCATCTCTTGCTGTTCTTGCTTTCACAGTATGTCTCATTATGGATGAAAGTCTACTCTGATTTAAACTCGCGCTCTTTTGTTCTCTGTGATTACCCGTCTATTTGGTACAGGACAGGCTCACTCATTTCTGTTCCATTTCACTTTACTGCTCATCTTTGTCGCTATAATGGTTCAGAAGTCTGGTGTGCCAGTTGTGACGGTACACACCTTTGCTCAGAGCACTCAGGAGGCAGGAGAAGGCAGATCTCTGTGAGCTCAAGACCAGCCTAGTCTACAAGATGAGCTCTAAGCCAGCCATGGTTACATAGCCCTGCTTCAAAAAAGAGGTATACAAAGTTTACTTTTTGTTATTTTCTTTATATATGAAGTATACATGTGTTAAAAATTATAGCCTCTGCTTAGCTGAACGTTTTATGAAATATTCTTTTTATCTCCAATGATGCTTTCTGCCTTAATGTCTCGTGATACTACCACTGCTAAATAAGCTCCCTGTACGTGAGTTTATATAGTTGTATTTCTTGTCAGGCTTGGCACCAAGGAGCCACCTCACCAGTCCATGGTATCTCCTCGTAAGTAGGAATTTCCAATTATCATACATTCCAAGGAGCATAAGAATGAACTTACTTGTAAACTCCCAGTATTTTTTATATTCGGCTGGAAATTTTCGTAAATGCAACTGATAGAAATTCTCTTTACTTGGCGAGTTGAACCATTCCTGTGCCACCTATACAAAGCAAAAAAAAAGAGAACTAAGAAAAAACACTCTGGAAAGCCATGCTACACAGGGAAAGTTTCCAAAGTGAGGAGCAAGTAGAGGACACAGCACAGAATCTCAAGTGACAACCTAAAAAGTAATTTGTGCATTTTAATGAAACTGCCCAAAACTGCCCTGTCCAATTCAGTAGCCACATGTGGTTAATCAATCAAAATTCTAAAGGTTAAAAACACTAGTCCTCAGTTGAAAGAAGACACTTCCCTAATGCCCAGCAGCCACCTGTTACTACACTGCTCACTGCAGCGGCATCAGGTGAGGCTAGACCATGCTGGCAGAGAAAAATGCAGAACCAGAGCACGTCACAAGTCTCCCATGACTGAGGATGTAAAGCAGATCTCTGGAATTCTCACCAGTATTCCATCAGTTTGTAAAATGTTCCAGCTTCCGGTCTTCCAAAACCCCAAACCCAGAAGTACCTTTGAGGATGTTTGGAGAATTAAAGACTACTTTCAACCCCAATTTACAAAGGAAACTGCTAGTGTAAATATGTAAATAAATCCATTTACATTTCTTTTGGGGGGGTGTCTTTTTGAGACTGGGTCTCCCTGTAGCCCTAGCTGGCCTGGAACTCACTCTGTAGAACAGGCTGGCCTCAAAACTCACAGAATTCACCTGCCTCTGCCTCCCCAGTGCTAGGATTAAAGGCATGCACAACCATGACTGGCTTAACATTTCTAATTTTTTTAAAAAAAGAGATTACCTTTAGGGACTTAAGTGTTTTTAAAATGTCTAACCCATCCATGTACTTGTAATGCCCGAGGTGGTCAGAAGAGGGTGTTGGATCCTGTGGGACTGGAGTTACAGAAGGCTGTTAGCCTCCATGTGGGTGCTGGGAGCCAAATCAGAGTCCTCTGCAAGAGCAGCCAGTGCTCGTAACCACTGAGCCATCTCTCCAGCCCCATGTTTTACCCTAACATTTTGAATAAAGTATTTATAATTGGTCTGCAGTACTTCTCATGAAGTTACTCATCAGACACTAATGCAGAGCTAATTCTTTCTGCACTGAAGTAAACCAAGCAGTTACTCCTGAAAGGAGATGGACACAGCACCATCTAAACACTACCCAGGACTTCAGTTTTTCTGGCTTGTGCCAAATGCTAACAGCATCAGCACGGTATCTAGCCCACAGCTCTAATTCTATACAACTATTCTAGTGTGGTCTGCTATTTCCTTCCCACAGCAAGAATACAGACACACCTAAGCTGACCAGGGCCTTCTCACAGTATGTGTTTATTAGTATGACCTTGCACTACATTGCCTGCTTCTGGCAATGTCACTGGAAGAATAAACAGCATCACAATCTAAGCAGATGCTTAAGCCAAAACCCACAGGAATCACCTCCCCATTTCAATTTCCACTACTAAGTCATGCTTTCTTTCTAAAATGTACCCCAATATATCTATAAATCCTTCCCATCTCCACAGCTACCACTAAGTAAAGCCCTCGTCATTTTTCTCCTGGGTTGCTCTAGCAATCTGTGCCTGCTCTGCTGATCTATGCTTGCCTCACTACAGACCACTCTCCACCCAACAACCAAGAACACTGTGCAAGGAATGTAAGCTGGCGTGAACCACTACTCCCAGGTCTGAACGCTCCCAAATTCAAACACGAATAGCTTCAGACAGCTGTATGCTAATGACTGTTTCTCTGATCTTAATTTACAAGAAGAGCAAAGAATCAAAGCATACTTACAGTCTCAAAAGCATTCAGTATAATCAAAGGGAGAAAAACATTAAAATAATCTCCGCAAGTCTGAAATCTGACCGGCACGGGTCTTGAGATGGACTGACACAGACTTGCTGGGGCCCCACATTTATCAAAGTTCACAAACATCTGATATTTCCATTTTAAGACCTCTTTAATGAAGGTGTCAAAAATTGACTGTGAGGGCACGAGAACGTTCACTGTCGAGGAAGCTGCTAAAGATGTGCTTTCAGAGAACGGAAGCTTGTAATCTTGTGTGCTGGAGTTGTTTTGGGTGTGAAACTGAAAAATATTGCATAAACTTCTTATTTCGGGCACTGGCTTCTGGGATACCAGGGAAGGTGGTGGTGTCACTTTCAAATTGGGCTGAGTCCCACTTGACTTATTTTTCAGTAAAGTACTTTCCAAAGACTTGGAAAGATTGGCAGTTCGTGAAGCACTTGAGCTAAAAATCTTGGTCGTGGTGGGTCTCAGAGGCTTGGCCACAGACGGAGGCAAACCAGGTGTGCGGAACACACTTTCATCTGCTGCTTTAGTATCAGAGTGTCGTGTGCAGTAGCCACTCTGGTTCTTTGCGGTTTCAACACAGTCTTTGTACTTACATTTCATGTGACTCTCAGGCTCCAACTGAGGCTGACTTACAAACTCTCTCATCTGAACTGGATCTTTTCCATGACCCACTTCAAAGGATTTGCTAGTCTCCATTTGTGAACATAAGTCCATATCTTCAGGTTCATGTTGTGTTAAAAATAAGCTCTCATCCTCTGAATCGCTATCGTACTTGGGCTCCACTTCCCTTACAGCCAGCCCCTCTCCACGATGCTCACTTCCACTTCCAGGATCCTCCGAGGTAGAGATAAGCATTTCATCTGTTGATCCACCTAACACTCTAGACTCACACTGGTTCCCAGAAGCAGCTTCGGCAGTCCCCTGAGGAACGCATTTTGCTATTGCCGACTCTGGTTCAGAAGGCATACATCTTATTAATTGCTTTTTGTTACTGGTGGCAAGCACTTCACTTCCTCTTTGATTACCTGGAGCATCAGATCCCGGCACAAGCACGTCAGCACGCTGTGTTGTGCGTGGCCCTACTCTTGCACCTGTACTTCTGAAATCACGTTCTCGTCTGCTTTGGTGGGATTTGAATCTCATCATGCTTTGAAACTGACGATCCTGACTTGTCAGCAGCTTCTTATTTTTGACAGAAAGAGTCTGACGAGAAATTAATTTAGCCTTTTTGGGGGCCTTAACTTTTCCAACAGTTTTGCCGTGATCACGTAACTGGACTATGCAGTCTAAAGACCGCTGGGACAACTCAAACGCCTTCCGAGGGGCTTTTTTCAGACCAAGTTTTTCAACCGTTGAAGATGGCTCTGGACACTGGCGAAATTTCTTTGGTGGCACAATAGCAGGAGTGGTTCTACAGCTTATGTAACGTGAATTTTTAGTCTGTCCTTTTTTGGTATCTGAATGTGTTTTCTTACTAGTTTTAGAAACAGTGACTTTTCTAACAGGTTTGGAGTAAGTATGAGGCTTTGGAGACTTCTTTGGGGGCGCAGCAGAATCTCTCTGAACACTTGAACTGGGGACCACTGTCCCTGTGTCTGTGCATCCTAAAACGTTTCCAGCGAGACCGCTATCATCATCAGACAGCTCGTTTCTGATGGAGGATGAAGGCCACTGAGCATCTTCGTCCCTAAGTTTGTTGTATCGTTTTCTCTTAGATCTTTTCACTTCAGTTTTACAAAATTCTTCAACAGGAACACTGCTGTGTGGTTCTGCGTGCCTTTCAACGCCCGCTGCTTCGTTTCTAACAACTTCTTCTGAGACAAAGTCCACTCCATGACCCAAATTACTGTTTGTGCTATCAGCTATGTGAGTTACACATGAACTTTTTCTTTCCTCTTGAAGCGAGTTCTTGCTGTCTACTTTATGATCCTCCCAAACTGAATACACTTCAGATACACTTTCAAACTCAAAGCACTGAGAATCGGAGTCCTCAAATTGCAGAGGGCACTTTGTTTTCTCTTCCTTTACACGCTTCTGTTCCACACTGGTATCAGCTACTGAACCAGGCTGCTCTGGACATTCTTTCTCAGTGTGAACTTTAACCTCTTCAGTGTGTTTCTCAAAACCAAGAACTCTTTTATCATTATCATCATCATCATCATCATCATCAGAGTCTGAAATAATAATAACTTGCTCATGGCAAGTGCCAACGTTACTTTGGTGAGCTGTCAGCCATCTTTTACCATCTCTTCTTTGTAGCTGGGATGAGCTTTTTTTATTTGAATCTGATGGACATTTTATAACAGTGGCTTGAGTTGTTACACATAATTCGGCAAGTTCTCTGTCTACACAAGTATCTGCTATGACAGCCGAACTACAAGTGACACCACGCACCCGTCCTTTGATCAAGTTAGAACTCAGATCTGTAGACTTACTCATTTCCTCCTGTCTTGATTTAAGTGCAGCCTTTACGGGAGCTTTAAAGGGAGACGTTTCCTTTGCCAATGTACCAGCTGTCTCTGTAAGTGGTATCAAGTTATTGTCACTAACATGGTGCTCCTGTACTTGACTCTTGCTTTCACCACAAGAAAACTTAGGTGGCTCCTCACGGTTTACTTGTGTCTTTTTGAGCACTGCACTGTTTTGAGATGTCTCCTCTCCATACTCACAACCCAGAACTCCACAGGAGTCTACAGACAGGCCACATGAGAGAGCATCCTCCTTGTGAGCTGCCCCACCTTTTCCTGAAGAGGAATTCTCAGACGCAGGTGTTGTTTCCTCTACATTGATGGTGTTACTGACCACAGTACTTTTCCTATGTTGCTTCCTTAAGACATACGATAACTTGGCACAAATTTCATCTTTCTGGGCTTTAGATTTTGGTTTTGAGGTTTTGCCAACAGTGTAACCTTTTAATGAGGACTCTTCATTTGATGTAGACACTTCTTCCAGAGAATCAGTGCTAGAACCAGTCAGTGAATGTGTCGATACTACTATTCCTCTGCCATATCCTGTTTCTGGGCCACTTCCTGCGCAGCTGTTCCTGAGCACACAGGAAGAGTGGTCTTCGGCAGGCTGCGCTGTGCTTACTAGCATCTCATCTTGAGCTCTTCCCAACATAAGGCCTGTGCTCTTCTGCTTTAGACACGCCTCAGCTGGAGGACGGTCTTCTACGTTCACATGCTCGGTACACATCTGCTCGCCATCCTTGTCTTGTGGGTTACCTGCCTTCATCAATACCTGACAGGAGTCAGGTTTCACTGGCTCTGTAAAAAGAGTTGCGCTACGATCTTCCAGATGGTGACTGTCTTTTTTGGGCTTGTCTGTCTGTTCACTTTCTACTTTCAAAGGTAGAGGAGCTTTAAATGTCAGATCCCCAAAAGTGCCACACTGAGGTACTTTGAATTTTATGTTTCTAATTATTTGTTTTAAACACATTTGTAACTCATGGGTTTCTTGATTCGTCAACTGCCAACCCAGAGATAAATTTCCTCGAAGGAATAAGTTAAGCTTATCCCAGAATCGCTTACAAAGACTCTGCTGACCAAGCTGATAGCCTTCTTTGAGGAGACCCCTAATGAGCTGCACGCAAGCCAACTGAACAGAGTTGGACGGCATTGAATGCAGCGACAGTGACGATATCACTGGCACTCCTTTGGAGATACTTCCAGATGATTTCTCTGAGCTCCGCACGAAGGCAGTGGTCGGCAGCTTGGCGCACTTTACAACAGCTTCTACCCACTGCTGGGAGCTGATCCACAGCAAATGCAGACATTTTTTATTTCTATGCAGTTCAATCACAGACACCAGAATCAGAATAAAACATTCAGTGACTTTGTCACACACAGCATCTGTCTGGTTGAGGACATCTCTGACTTCAGAGTGCAGATGATGAATAACCTCCACTATGTAGGCCACACCTAAGTCCTGAAGCTCCATGAGGGACTGAACAAAAGGGATGAACCACAGAAAGGTGCTGTTGTGAACGCGCATATCTTGGCCAATGTCTGACTGAAGCACACTGGCTAGAGTTTCCATCTCTTCATACATGTTCGGACAATAATCTGGGCAGATGGCTGATCTCCAGCCTGAGTCCTAAAAGGAAAAAATATATCAACATTCAGATAAACAAGTACCATGATAGGTTAACAACCGAATTGTACAAAAGGAATATATTCAACTTTACTAGTCTACTATAATTTTTAACACACATCAATTCCCAAGAAACTGAAAATATAACTTTATTTTAAAATTAAGTATTTCAAAAAAAACGCAAATGCACGTCTCATGTTCCTGAGCCTTCTTGTCAGTGAGCTCTGACCTCTCAGCCTGCCACTTCTTCCCCTTACAACAAGAATCCACTGTGGTTAGAGTCAATTTTTCCCCCACGCACAATACCTCTGTTCCATCAGAAGGCCTTTAAGGTGGATTCAGAATTGCTATGCATCACAAAATCAGCATCCAACTGATAACATAAGACACTGCCGATACCGTACCATCTGAATTTTCAAAATGTTTTATACCTTTTTGGTCTTTTCAGGATTATAATTATATACTATCTGGCTGCAAGTCACCATATCCTCAAACTCTGGCTCCGGTTCTAATTTGGTCCTTAAATATAAAAAAAAATAAAAAGAAATTACCGAAATGAGGGGAAAGGCTCCTTGATAAAATAGTTCAATAGACTTTCTTCAGAGAGAATATTTTTAAATTCTGGTATTAGTTTAACTAACCGTATAGAGTTGTTCCGTATATTTTGAATCTCTCTGTTGTAGCTCATGTTGTTGATAATGGTCTGAAATGCTTCAATAGGGTCTATAAGTTGACCCCACACCTTAGATCCAAGGCGATCCAGAATCACCATGAAACAGTGTAATGCTGGCCAGAAAGGATCCAGGCTATCATCTAAAATATAATGTAGTAATTGCTGAATTACAGAACAATCAGAAAAACATTCTAAAACACATTAAAAATTAACAATCCTCGGTCAGCAGCAGAAGTGAAAGCAAAGCGGCAGGCGATTTAAAGTAGTGATGCCGATCTCTGGAGGGACAGCTTTTAAAAGCTGCCATTTTTAAACTTCAAATACTACAATCTCTTTGCAAAAATATAATAGAAAACAAACTGCTTAATATGCAACAAAATAGTCTAAAGTGCCCTGTTAACCCCGTTTGCCATACATAAAACAATCTTTTGTAACCAACGGAATCCCTCCCCAGAAGTGTGTGTTCTTAACTCCAGTAAGAGGGAAAAAAAGGGGGGGGAGGGGGGAGTGAGGGCTAATGAGATGGCTCGGTAGGTAAAGGCACCTTCTGCCGAGCCTGAGGACCTGATATCTGGACCCCACATGGTGAAAGAGAGACTTGAGTTGTCCTCTGACCTCCACACGTGTCCCCACATACATACACACACACACAATTATTTAATGTTTAAAAGAGTGAAAGAATGAGAAACGGCATTCACGGATCTAACTACAGCCCAGCCTGAGCTCCTCTTGTACACCATGGGCAGTGACGTGAGCTGAAGCTCTGCTAACAGTGAGCAGAAGCACGCTCTCCATCCAGCCGTGTCTCGACCTGTCCTCATTACCTGCTTTCATCCCCTCTGCACGAACCTTGCTATTCACTGGGGTCTTACTACAGCCCTTCCCGCCTCCTCTACCTCATGTGCATTGCCAAATACTGGTCCTATTGAAAGACGGTTGTTCAATGTCACTTAAAGTTCTTAGTCAAGAACTCAAGATTTTGTGTTTTTTCCCCCAGCTTTATTTTTCATATTCCCAATAATCACTGTCTGTAGCAAAAACAATCAATGGCTTTCTCCCAGCTACCAGAATGCCTTCACCATCAGCACCAGCACTACCTATCAAAACCCTATCCATCCTCAACAGACTATCTCCACTCCTTCCTCCTGCAGTAAACATTCCCCAGCCATGTAGTCCCAGTGCTCCCTGGAGGCGAGTGTGAGAGCTTACGGTTACTGACGCTGCATCTTTACTCTTCATAGACCTCTTTTAAACTCTCCGTGTTTTGTTTTGCAGTGCCGCAGGTACACTAGACAAGTACTCTACTATCTTGAGTCAAAACTGCTTTTTTATTATCTCTTGGGTAGACCTCTTTACCAATTTTTGTACCCTTCACAGTAGCTAACAATGCCTTATGTGTAGTAAGATCTCAAGTAAGGAAAAAAATAGTTAGGTAAAGACTATTATAAAAAGTTTCTTGAGACTGCCTGACTCGGGCTTCATCCTGGTGCTAAGAAATTGAAGCAACCCAAGTGTCCCACCCACCTCATCTGACAAGTTGATAATGAATTACTGGTACACTTACACAGTAGAGTTCTACTCAGAAGTTGAGATGAAATCATAAGGATGAAATCAAGGGATGAAACTAGAAACAGTATTACTAAGTGAAACAACTGTACGTCCCAACATAACTGCAGGAGCCAGGAAAATGTAAAGGAACCAGAGAGGGAAAGGGAAAGAAGGTGCCCGAGAGAGAAGAACAGTAGGAGACAGGTGTTACTAAGGGGGAAATGGGTAAAATTGGGGGGGGGGGGCTTAAATGGGGGGTATACAAGGAACTATGGAGGTAAAGGGGAAGAAGGAGAGGGGGGAACCATAGAAGACAGGTATTATCAAGGAAGAAATGGGGAAAATGGGGGTACTCTTAACTGGGGAGGGAGGAAGGAAGGTTAGACAGGGAGAGAGAGGAGCTGTGCCTAGCTGTGTAAAAAAAGAGGAAATTGTAATAGTTCAAAAGAAACAATGCCAGACGGGAGAAACATCTCTTGTTGGCCAGGGCAGTCCCAAGAGACTCCCAAAGTTACTCGGACTATTGCCACAGCCCTTGATTGACTCCCAGAACTTGAAGGTAAGCCCCTACTGCTGAACACAGGACATACTTCAGACACAAGACTTGGGAGCAATGGAGCTAGGGCTGGAACTGGCCTGAAAGCCACCTCCCTAAAGGTTAGCTCTCATAGTTTTGGAGAGTTCTATGCAAGCTACTTAGGAAGAACCTCAATTGAAGCTCCAACCCCAGCTTTAAGGCCTAGTAACCACAATATTGACCGGCACAGCAAACTATATTAGGACAGTAGTGGCACTTTTACCTTGGAAGTAATCAACAGCAACGTAATTGGACCTAAAGCCCATTCAATGGGAGGGAGCTCATGTGTGGTACTGTAAACACAGCCAAATACACAGGGATGGAGAGGTCACAGACCTTAGAGAAAACCACAAGGCTATCACATCCCTAGATAAATGTAATTTCTTACTATGTGCTAAATATGGATCCTTATATTTACACACAGTATGGCAGTCACCACTCATCAAAGAAGCTTCCTTTGCAATATAGATGGAGACTATTATGGAGTTCCTCAACTGGTCACAACAGAGATTAAGTGTCTATGAAATGCCCAACCCTAAGTGATCCATCTACAAAGGAACCTTTACACCTAAGGTTCACAGAACACAGTGGAACAAGGGGTAGAGAGAATACTAATGCATCTCTCAACTCTCATTGCACCCAGGGCTCAGGGACCATTATGTTAGAAAGTTTAAAAGAGTTCGGGAAGGAGGTACATGATCATATGGAAGTTAAGAGTCATACAGGCTCCTGGGACCTTGCTCATAAACTTACAGCAATGGTGACAGCATGCATAAGACCTACAGAAACTCAAGCAGACAAAAACCCAGCATAGGCCCCAATCTTAGCTAAAGAACTATTGGACAGCTGATTACTACTGGGTGAGGAAGAGCTGATCTTTAAGGGAGTGACTCTAGACAGGCTGACTAGACCCCAGTGGATGAACCTGCACTGAGGGACATCAGGGGACACTAACTTGACTTGATAGGCCTTAACATAAATGACAGTGCATGAAATCCAGTGGGGGTAGAGGGGCATGAGAGGGTGCTGATAGGGAAGGGGTATAAAGAGGACTAAGATGTGTATGAAATACACAGAATTTCAATTTAAAATATATTTTAAAAAATTTTTTTTAATTTTCAAAGTTTCTTAGAGCTGCCTTATAATTGGAAAGATATGTGCAGCCTATATGCACAGGGAAAGAAGGGAACAATGCTGGCAATCAATTAGTGATAGCATTCATGTGGGGTCACCGATCAAGAAAATGTGTATCATCAAAACGAAAAGGGTTATTTCTTTTAGAATCTCTCACACAAGTTTATATTACCAATCAACTTTCCTAAAGTCGAAGATGTTTTCATAGGATTTGACATGTTTGGTTTTTATCAATTCTTTCCTTCTTCAAAAAGATTAGAAACATTTAAATATTTAAGTACAGACATCAATCAGCAAAAGGTTAGACTCTAATAAATAACATAACTTAAATGTTGGGCTTGCTTTTTATTTGGGAGGAGAGGGAGTTTAAGACAGGATCTCACTGTGTAGCCCAAGTTTGGGTCTTCATGGGACTAAGGGCATGTTCCCCCACATCGTCTAGAGCAGTACTGTCCTAGACAATCTTCTGTGGTGATGAAATAAATGTTCTCTGTCCGTATTATCTAGAATTCATCCTACATATGTAGTTACTGAGCCTTAAAAACACAGCTAGTGGAAATAAAAAATTGAATTTTTATCCACTTTCAACAACCTCACACAGCTAGTATGCTGGACAGATGGACAGAGCAACCCAAGTGACCCAGCCGCCCCCCCCGGGGGGGGGTTCAGGGAGCGGTGAGACAGGCACCTGTGTACAATCATCTCCCAGACAGTCTGGCTCATTTTGGAAAAATAAGCTAACTTCCCCAGGCTGTATTCACTTCCTCTGTCAAAGAAAGATGTTGAGTTAAATTCTAAAGGTCCTTTCTAATTTATAAGTCTGAATCTGTGACCTACATTATCAAAAGTTAATTTTGGGAGTACAGTTCAGGGGCAGAGCGCTTGCTCAGCATGTTAAGTCCAGGTTCTTTTCTGCATCCTCTCACAGACTAATTCTCAGTTAAAGTAGCCACCACAGTGCTCAAACTGCATTTAGCAAGTAAAATGCATTACCATTTGATTGCTTCTCCATTGTGTGAAGGATTGATTGCATAAAATCGTTTTGTTTGCCTGAGCCCAACAACAGTGAATCCATGGCTTGTTCCTCAAGAATAGTCAGCAACATGCAAATACCTGTAAGATAATTCAGTTTTACTGAACTGAACAAACAACACTATTCTAAATGTTTTGTTTTAGCAGGTCAAAGGAAAACAGGGCAGGAAGACTAAACAAAATCTAGTTCCTCAAACAAATCTCTAAGTCTGAGATAGTTCATGAACAGCCACTCCCAAACAGAATTTTAAACTGTTTCCAGTATAAAGTAGGAAAATGGCACTACTGAGCTGGAAAACTTCTGAGATGACAATCTCATTACCTGTACTTTACTGAGCTTAAGGATGTCTTAAAACATTTAGCTCCAGCCCAGTGTGGTGGTGCACACTTGCAGTCCCAGCATTTGGGAGGCAGAGGCAGGCGGATCTCTGTGAGTTCAAGGCCAGCCTGGTCTACATAGTGAATTCCAGGACAGCTGGGGCTACAGGAAGACCCTGTCTCAAAAAGACGAAAAAAAAAAAAAGAAAAAAAAAACCTGTTTGGCAGGCATCTAGAATAATTAATGCTCAATAAGGTATTTAATAGTCATTTTAATAAAGCAACAAGCACTGGGAACCATCAGATTGTCTATTCAGCAATTTGGAAGAGATAACTCAAAAGAGCTTGCTTTCTACTCAGGACACACAAGAAGATAATGACAACACCAACACAGGAACAAATAATACTCACCTAACCAATAGTTTTTGTAGTTGATAGTATCATACATGTGTGAAGGCAGAAGAATCAGTTTACCCTTTTCAAGCACAGAAGATGTATGAATGTCTGGATTTTCTAAAAGCCCCAACTCAATGACTTTAAAAAGGCAAGTTAAAACCTCCTGTAAGTCGTAATAATCATCTCTGTCCACTTTTCCCAAGTTTCTTGCAGTCAGGATAGCCCATCGTCGAACCTAAATGTATAAGAGTACATGACGACAGATTTCAGAAGACGTGAAGGGATAGCAGTAGGATGTGTGGACTTTCTGTGACCCTGATCTGAACAAACTACAGCACTTATGAGACAACCACTGTCAGTTATTTAAACCCTGACAAGCCAAGTATTGAGGAATTACCAATTGTGAAAATAGTACTTTTTACAATTCTTACCTTTACAAACACATTTTTTATTTTTATTTTTTGGTCTTTTTGAGTCAGGGTCTCCCTGTAGCCACAGCTGTCCTGGAACTCACTATGTAGACCAGGCTGGCCTTGAACTCAGAGATCTGCCTGCCCGGCTTCATATACTGTTCTATGGGTGAAAAAATGGTAAGTAGGCCGGGAGTGGTGGCACACACCTTTAACCCCAGCACTCAGGAGGCAGAGGCAGGCAGACCTCTGAGAGTTTGAGGCCAGTGTGGTCTACATAGTGAGTTCCAAGCCAGCTGGGGCTACAGGGAAACTGGTAAGTAGGAGGCTGGAGAGGTGGCTCAGTGGTTAAGAGCACTGACTGTTTGCAGAGGACCGGGGTTCAGTTCCGAGCACCACATGGCTGCTACCAACAATTGATAATTCCAGTTCCAAGGGATCTGACCACCTCTTCTGACCTCCATGGACGTTGCATGACACGAGTGCACTTACATATGTGCAGGCAACACACTCATACACATAAAATATGAATAATAAAATATAAGCCGGGTGTGGTAGCACACACCGTTAATCCCAGCACTTGAGAGGGAGAGGCAGGTGGATCTCTGAGTTCATGGCCAGCCTAGTCCCTGGTCTACACAGTGAGTTCCAGGCCAGTTGGGGCTACAAGGAGACCCTGTCTCAAAAAAACAAAACAAAAACTAATAATAAAATGTAAAAAAAAAATGGTTAAGTGGGGCTGGAGAGATGGCTGAGCTGCTTAAGAGCACTGTCTGCTCTTCTGAGGACCCAGGTTCAATTCCCAGCACCAACATGGTGGCTAACAATCATAACAACCACCTGTAACTCCGCGGGATACAACATCCTCTTCTGACCTCTATGGGCATTGCATGACATGGGTGCACTTATATACATGTAGGCAATACACTCATACACATTAAAAAACAAAGAGAGAGGATGGGTTCCGACCTCCATCTGTGTTAGCAGCTGGGATCTCAGCAGAGTCCCAGAGAGTGCCTGTTCCGGCCTCCCTCTGATATAGGGGCTAAGAACTCAGCAAACCCACTGAGAGTCCCCAAATCAGGCCCCTCTTAGGTGTCTTCCCAAATTTTGCTCTGAGTTCCCACTAGTAGGGGTTCAACCCTTAGAAGGAAGCCTGAGTGTACCTGACTAGAACCTGACTTGGGCTTCTGTGGGTCCTCCTGAGTAGCTGATTATGAAGCCATCAGTTCCCTCCAAAATAAAACCAGAGAGAACCTGAAACCTGTACCAACCAGCTTTATATAACCAATAAGAAAAGGACTAAGGCACACCAATAATACAAACAGAAGCACACTTCAACTTAATTCTCACATCAGAATCAAACAACAAAAGAAACTCACATGCCAAAATCACAATGAATAATAATAAAATGGAGAGCCAAAATGCTATGTCCCCACCAAACTCCACCAATCCTGTACAAGAGTTCTACAAGGAGAAACCCCTAGAGATATCCCAGGACACAGAATTTAAAAGAACAATCGTAAACATAATCAAGGAATTCAATGAATTTAAACAACACACAAATCAAAGAACTAAAAGAAGACAGGGATAAACTTCTGAATGAATTCACAAAAGAGAAACAATGAATACTCAGGCTGAAATAAAGAACGAAGTGAAACACTCCATAAGCCAATTAGAAATGACAGGAGAAAGCCTCACCAATAGGATGAACGAAACGGGAAACAGAGAATCAAGACTGAAGGATAAAGTTGAAGAATTGGACCACTCAAGCAAAGATTATGAAAAAATAATTTTTATATATTTTATTCATTATTTTTATGTGTATGCGTGTATTGCCTGCATGTAGGTAAGTGCAACCATGTCATGCAATGCCCGCAGAGGACAGAAGAGGCTGTCAGATCCCCTGGAACTGGAGTTATGGACAGTTGTTAGCTACCATGTGGGTGCTGGGATGCGAACCCAGGTCTTCTGCAAGAACAGCCAGTGTTTTTAACCGCTGAGCCATCTCTTCAGCCCCAAGATTATGAAAAAAAATTTATTTATTTATTTATTTTTTTTTTTTGGTCTTTTTGAAGCAGGGTCTCCCTGTAGCCCCAGCTGTCCTGGAACTCACTATGTAGACCAGGCTGGCCTTGAACTCACATATCTGCCTGCCTCTGCCTCCCAAGTGCTGGGACTACAGGTGTGCGCCATCACGCCTGGCCCAGAACACCATGAAAAGACCAAATTTATGTATCAAATTTATGTATCACAGGCACAGAGGAAGGAGGAGAATTTCAGGTTAATGGTATTGCCCAGATCTTAAACAGGATTGTACAAGAGAATTTCCCGAAATTAAGGAAAGACAACCCCATACAAATACAGGAAGCACACAGAACACCAAATAGGATCAGAAAAGAAACTCCCCACAACATATCATACTTTACCCAGTAAAAATGTCTATTATACTTGAGGGGGAAGAAAAATCTTCCATGACACACACAAAGAAAAAAAACTAAAAAAAATACATGTCCACGAAACCAGCCCTTCAAAGAATACTTTAAGCAGGGGGCTGGGAGAGATGATGCAGTGGTTAAGAACACTGGCTGTTCTTGCAGAAGACCCGGGTTCAAATCCCAGCACCTACATGGCAGCTAACTGTCCGTAAATCCAGGTCCAAGGGATCCGATGGACTCTTCTGTCTTCGCAGGCTGCACAACAAGTGTGCACTTACCTACATATGGGCAATTACATGCATACACATAAAATAAAAATAATAAAAAAATTTAAAAGAAAAAATACTTGAAGCAATACAAAGAGAGGAGAAAGGAACTTACCTACATGCAGGCGATACACACACATAAAAATAATAAATACTTTAAAAAAAAAGTCTATACACTACTAAATCTGAAAGTCTAAAAGAAATGGATGGATATCTAACATCATGAGAAGCACCAAAGTTAAACCAAGAAGAGATCAACAGTTTAAATAGACCCATACATAGAAGGAAATTGAAACAGTAATACAAAGACTCCCAACTAAAAAAGCCCAGCCCACATGGATTTATGGCAGAATTCTACCAGACATTTAAACAAGACGTCCAATCAATACTTAAATTATTCAAAATAACAGAAACAGAGGGAGAACTCCCAAATTCCTTCTATGAACCCAGCATCACTCTAATACCCAAACCAGGTAAAGACACAACCAAAAAAGAAAACTATAGACCCACATCCTTAATGAACATAAATGCAAAAATTCTCAACAAAATACTTGTAAACCGTATACAGACACACATCAGAAAGATCATTGTGATCAAGTAGGCTTTATCCTAGAGATGCAGGGCTGGTTCAATATATGCAAGTCAATAAACGTCATCAATCATATAAAGGGACTCAAAGACAAAAACCACATGGTCATC